CTCGCAATAAGACATTCAGGCTTTCTACTTCGATGGCCCACAGATGGAAGGCCTTATTCCCCTGTGTCGACGACAACATTTTCTGCTGTATAGCCTCTGCCCAATCGCTGGGGAGCCAATACATACGAACCTCGTCCATAAATTCAGAGAAGGATAGGGCAGTCAGTCGACTACCGTTGTTACTGATCCAATCTTGCACGCGAGGATCTAAAAGGTGACCCGCGACCTTAGCAACCTGGACATCCTCAGCTACACTCTTCAGCCGAAAATAATTTTCGCAGCCCAGCTCCCAGCTCCACAACCCTTCTGGGGTGATATCACCTGCCGTCAAGAAGGGAGGATTTTTACCAGGCACAGTGTTTTCACACCGCGCCGTCTGAGACTGGGTCGAAGACATTATAATAACAGGGAAGACCGCTGTGGAGCTGTCTGACGACGAGGAACTATCGGTGGTCGCAGGAGACGCTGGATGCGCGTACAGGGACGACACTGGTGACAGGGGAACATGCGCAGAAGGGGCGGATGGAGACGATGTGGCGCTAGGCAGAGCCACAGGTGGTGGTGTGGGTGGCAGCGGGAGGGAGGCGGCACGGGACTGAGACAGCGAGGGCGAAAGCGAGGACAACGGAGATGACAACGATGTCGCCGGCAGGGGACCGTTCCCTCGACTACAGGTAGTCAAGGGCACAGGAACGGAGGGGGTGCGACGAGACGGCAGCTTGACACCTTTACCAGGCGTCGACATGCGCTATGGCACGTTCAAAAAAAGTGGAACCCACCACAGTAGGGGTGAGCACACTCAGGACAAATCGCAACAAGACAGAACGTGGACAGGCATGTGGGATTGAACAACCGAGCATACGCTCTGATACAGGATGATAGAGAGAGAAAGGAAGAGGGAAAAGAAGATATCCCTGCGCATACATGTAGCACCGATATATATACCCCCAGGATCCAAACAGTGCAACACAGCGAGAGGGATCCGCATGCCCAGACAAGGAGATAGGAGACGTGATAGTGCGGTGCGACAGGAGATGTGACAGCGTGAAGCAGTAGCATGAGCGTGAGTGACGCGTGAGTGGTAAGTGTACGCTTACACTTGGTTCCTGCTGCCAAGCCTGTCCTGTGCGGAGTTCGAGCAAACCACACCACTTTTGCACCAGAATTTCTGACGCCTTCAATCCACTGCACCCCTTGCACTGGCGGGTTCTATTCGGGTATCATCTCATTGAAGCACAGGCAACGATAACCAGAGATTCTTGGGACGTCTTTCGCACACCCATTCGCCTGCCTTAGACACAGAATTTTCAGTCGACTGCCTACTAGTTTCTACACACTGCAGCTGCACGGCGGACCCTCGACTCCATTTTTTTTCTTGAAGTTACTTCAGCGCCCTTAAGAACCTAAGTCACTGTGGCTGCTGACAGCTCAAGGCCAAGACGAAGTGGATATATTTTAGTTTTCAAGATAAGGGTTCATACGTCAAGGTACAGGTGATTAGTGATGCACGCATGATGAGGCAATGATACGAAGCCTATCAAGGATAGGGTCAAGAATATTTCCTCGCTGTCGTCGAGCCTGTTTTCTTGGCCGTTGTCGAGTCTGTTGACGGGGGCATAAGTCATCGGGAATGTGGTCTGAGGGAATCAACCAGCCGTGCTTGGTGTACTTATGCGCGTTCTTATTCACGGCTGGCGGCCTGCAAAGAGTAACCCGCCAGTGCCAACTGTCAATACCCATGCAAGATGTCGACAAGAGTACCTCTTTGATTTCCCTCCACTCTGCCTTGCACATCAGTACCAAGGGCACATCGAAGTTGGATGACGTCTGTGACCTCACCCACTCTCGGGTTGCTTGGGTTTGACGGGTGGAGTGACGCGTCTATGAACCAGCGAAGTCGCATCTGGAGCTAGAAAGATGATACCTACGCGTAACAGTTTTCCGATGCCTTACAGGGTACATTTTTGGCAACAGCTACTGTTTTGCATTCGGTGGGCTGTTCGTATGAATCACTGCTGTACCATAGTAGTTAATGCCAAGATACAATGAGGATCCAATAAACTTACCAATCTTCGGGGGGCATGATCGATGACAAGGGTAGGGGTGCAGTTCGAGACTGAGCTCGGGGTAAGCATTGGGGGCTGTACCACAGCAGGTCATCCAAAACAAGCAGGTAGGCCGTGGCCTGCGGTTGCTTCAGCTTCTCCTGTCTCGGACGGCAACAGTAATACTAGCGGGTTACCACTGATCGGGTTTGGCTCTTGCCACTGTCGTTCATCAGGACATGTACTATCACCAGTCAAAACTTATTGTTTCGATCAACTGACGGCGGCGGCGATCGCTGTTCAACCCATACAAGAAATCCCTGGACTCCTTCCGTAGTACGACTTGTGAAAGCCTTCGCTGCATAGCATAGGAGGCGGTGAGTTCCCTCACGACACTGTTACGCCATACATACATATACGTAGCACCATCAGTTGGCGAAGCAATGGACTTGCGTCGAACGTCGAACAAGACCATAAATGTGAGGTTCGGGGAAATGAGCGCGAAATTCAAATAACAATACAAGTCCATGAGTCTGATGGTGAGTGCTCTTAGTGATGGTGGAATCCCTAAAATGTTTAGAGATTGAAGTACCCACCCATTAGGCGACCTTACTCATCTGACGCAACTCCATGGATTAGTGCGACTTGGCCCTCACTACTGCTGGGAATTTCCTCACGAAAGGCGGAGGATCAGAGGACTGGCAGTGCTCAAAGACCGGTTTTGATAGTCCTCGGGGAAATAAAATCCAGATGCACCAATTGAAGTGCTCATCACGTGTGGTGATTAGCTCTTTAACAACACAGGGTGCATCAGCCGGGGATCAGAAGATATTGCCTTGCTTAAGAGCGAAAGGGGCGGGGAGAAGGGGAAATGTGAGGATCAACATGCATTGCAGGACGATATGATTCTTGCGTATTGTTCCCATGTTGCAAATTCGAATGCATGACAATGGCGAGTTGGGAGCAAGAGCGATCTGCGAGTTGTTTCAATATATCGAGGTGTAAGTTGGGGTCGTCAACGATGCCACTCGATTGTCACCATCAAACCAAATTGTGGCCCATACCCTTGCCAAGCCTTGAGTTTCTTCGAACTCCCCCAGCTGCGCCCGGGAGGGTAGCCTCCCAGGCCAATGGAAAGAGCCGTTTTCCCTCCCCAACTCCCAGTTCCAAGTGTATGCTTCCAGATGTCACAACGGTCACGATGGGTGCGCGAGGGGGGCTCTGCAGGTGGAAAAAGGGCCGGACCCGGGAGGCGAAAGACGGTTTGGATTGAACAGGGAGAGGTGGAGTACAATAGCTTGGAACATTCCTTCCAATTCGATGAGGTGGGATTTGAAAATTTTAAGCGGGACTGTGGCCAAGTGTGGCATGTCAAGCTTAAGTTGTTGGTTACTTCGCGGAATCTTCGACAACGGAGAAAAACATGCAAATAATTGCGGAGAAAAACAATGGATATTTCGCTCTTGACGAGGGGGCAGCCGAGGAAAAAAGGTATTGATACTATTGCCGTTGTCAAGAGACATGTTCGTCTGTTTAAGAAGTCCACCAATCGAACCCTTCGGCGTTTAATTTGCGGAGTTCGTGCGAGTGCTCGGCGATGGTCAGCAGACTTGCACCACTTTTGCACCAGATCATTCCAGAATCCAGCCCAAGTTTTTGACCTCCTGAACATCCGCTTGCAGATTTGCAACGACTGCCTCTTCAACCGCGATGCTCGAGCCTTAGTTCGTCGAAGCGTTGGGGGCATGGCAAAAGGAACAACGGAGAGTCTTGGAGAACTTTTATCGCACACATCAAATCTTCTGTTTAGAACAGAATTTTTCGAGTCGAACATCTGCACACGATAGTGCACGTTAGCAACGTCAACGTCAGGGAGGGGGTCACCGAAATCTTGTCCAGCTCCGGTTGGTGCGCTTCGCGACAAATGCAGTGGTGATACTTCGTTATGGAAAATATGCGGGCCTGGCTTATCGCAGAACTTACTTGATGCACGCCAATACACACTGGCATTTCCTACTTCAGCTTCTTGATCCTTCAGAAGGGCGGGTATAACAACTGGCCAAGGGCAGTGGCAATCGGGAGTCCCACAGCGCATGCACGACTAGTGAGTGTCTTGGTTCACTCAAACATACACCGGTCATGATTGGATGAGGATATTGACACGGCCTTGGTTGACGGACAGATTTCTTGTTGGGATTTTCTCTGTTGCGAACAATTTCTTCGCTGTGTCTTCGTCTTCTACCCACACCAAAGGGGATGAGAGAATCTTTGCGGTATTTGAGGACACACGCTGAGTTGCACTCCAAGCTCATGATGACGGTGAGCGACTTGCCTTGAATTTAGCGTGGTGTGACATGCCCCTTTTTGGCATGTCTCGTCACGCAACTTCGGATCCGGCTGACACTGCGCTCGCAACAGTGCACTTCTAGGGTGGAGTATGGCATGTATACGGACAAGCACCGTGTACAGAGAGGAGAGTTTGACGATGATATTTCGTCGTGCGACAGGGTTTTGGCCAGAGCCAGAGGATGCAGTGTGGTGCAATCCCGTTCGCTACAACTGGTACCAGTCTGGAAGCAAACTGTTGTGCTATTCTAGGTTAACGGTAACGACAGTCAGAAACCTCGATCATGAGAGACTTACGATGACTTCAGGAGTGTTTATGTTGCAAGGTCATTCTGGAAGGATAGTCAGATGGTCTGGTGTGATCGTGGACGTCGCTCTGAATGTCTGGCAACGAAGGTAACTTGGAGTTCAACCCAGGAGGAGGTCTCGCATCGGATTTGAACGTAGCCAGGGTTTTCCGGATACTTCCACGGAAACAGATCGTATGTGGACCCACTCCATGGTACTTGAAATGTGAATTCGAATAAGCGCCAGCGCCGCCGCTATTAGGCTCCAACTTCAATGTCCTACTGACCCTGGCAGGGTCTCAGATGACTGGACAACTTAGTTTATGCACGCATCGTTCCCTTCTTTTTTTTTTTTTTTCCTCCCCTTTCTATTGCATATTTCAGCCCTGCTTGGCTGCCTAAATTTTAGGCGTCGCGCAGGGTTTGTGGTATCTTCTTTTTTTCTTTCTTTCTCCCTACAGATTTTTCTTCGCACTTGATGGATTCGGGAAGACTTCCCACCTACAGGTCCTCGTACTTGTTTAGGTTCCATCCGTATGCAAGGGTCAAGCCTTCTGCCCGCGAAAGAGTGACGGTAGGTGCTGGCAGTAGTTCATAGCTCGCTACTTGGGAATGCTGATGGTGACTAGGCCGTGTTGTACACCTCTGACGACGACAATCTTTTATCCGACGAACAAGGCTTTGTCCTGTCGTATCAAACTGCCATCCCAGACACTGTAAGGTCATGGTGACATTCCCAAATATCCGTGTGTTGATCTCCTTGGCTCGAGAAGCCCTCTAGCATCATTGCTCGGAACCTGGACGATGCTGTCAACGTCATGCACTCCGTCGATGATCCCCGGCGGAAGCCGAGCATGTCCACCATAGTGGTTGTAAGTACAGTTGTTTTCATTGCAGAATGAATGTCGTCATGTATTGCGTAGGACCTGGCGTTGTTGATGTGTCGCAAGCCACCCTCTACCGCTTGATCGTGAGTTTGAAGGGCCAGTAATCCCAGCTGTAATAGGGAAGATGAAACAACTTCTATCTCATTTCGTACATCCTTGTGACGTTCATCCCATACCTACGTTTCCCTTGTCTAACCCTTCCTTCAGTCTAGTAACACAAGATATCCGGACCTCTGGTGCACGGAAGCGTAGAATCAGCAGGCTGTTATTTATGGCTATCATCGAACGTTAGCAGTCCGTTTTAAGGACCTCTCCTGTGCCCTTTAAGTCGCTTTGCAGACTTGAAGCTTGTGGGAAGGAGAGGCGACATCGAGATGTACTGGCAAAAGGTCGGACTTATACTGTGAAGTTGGGTATAGAAATTATGAAAGGTGACAAGTGATTGACTAGGGCGAGTGATCGAAAACAATGAGCTATTGGAACTGCAACTGCAACAGAGGCGACAAGACGATAACATACATAGTACAAGGGAAGGGATGAAAGCTATTCTGTCACGTTAGCTATTCATTCCGCAATATGTTTCATACCCATTGATCGATTGTCTGGAGATTCCATTCTGGGATCAAAAATGATATCGAAGGTTCACTTGTCCACGTTGATTCTGGCATTCATTCACGGAGTAGCAGCACCTGATCTAGAGCTTGGAGACTAGTGACTCTTCTAAAGATGCGGATTTGTCTACTGTGTCTAGTGCTTCAGTGATACCCCGTTGTAAAGTGGCCCAACGACGTGCACCATGTCGTACCCGATAGCGGGTGAATGTATGGTTCATGACCAGACATGGAGAGGCACGCCCCATATCCGAAGTCACCACATATCCGAACAATCATTTAGGATCGCAAGCGTAACGAAGGCTCCTGAAGGTCTCGTGTTATTGTGTAAAATCGCCGATGGTTGGACCCGTGCGAGACTGTGTGCTGGCTAACTGCATCTAGTACCTTGTCGATTCGAGGAAGCTGACTTTCAAGGTAACCTCTGGGAGAATACTCACATCCGATGGCGAATTATCGGCTGCACGAGCGTAATGGACAGGAACGTGTAACGGTGTGTGGATGATTTGTTGCAGGAGAGCAATGAATGAGGTAGGAGGGGTGTCGAAGACGGTGAGACATTTTCCCCAAGGGAGATAGGGATAAACTGGGGTCTTGAACACCCCGTACGAGTTCTGACCTTCAGTCTGTTCGCGCCCTCTAAATCTACTTGTGACCATCATCAAGCACTGTGCAGGTTTAAGCCATCGCACGACATACCTTCACGAGGTCCTGAGGGCAGAGAAGGTCAAGGTAATGCCGCTCCCTCCAACAACAGACACTGCCGCAAAATAGCTTGCAAAAACCGAATGTCCGAGTCCTCCTGCGTATCAAACGCCGTTAACCTACCCATTCTCGGAACTGCACACAGGTACTTTCGTGGTCTCGTACAACATCCGCATCCGGAGTAAAAGTAAAGGCATCGATGGACATTACTAGCGTGATCGTGGGTGTATGTGGTCTCATCGGACTGGGTGACGGAGTTGCCCACGTGTTACTGGCTATTCCCTACTTGTAGAACGTTTGGCTGGTAACTGAAGTGCAATTGAAAGTGTCAAGCTGGCTTTGTAGAGGTCGAGTAATTATCTTGTTTTCGTGGCGCATACTGTGTTCCGGAAGAACTTGATCCCGTTTCATTCGCTGGACGTCTCCAGAACTTGTCTAGAACAGACCTTTTTCCGCGGCATTCCACTGGCTCCGCATTTCCAACCTGTGCGCTTCGAAAAGGATGTCCTGGTGGGCACTTTGCGTCACAAGTAGTATTAGTAAAGAGGAAGGCAGTAATATTCGGGGGGTCGGATTTGGTTTGGGATCATTCCTTGACTATGCAGCTCCACTTTGTAAACCTGGCGGGATCCTGTGGCTCGGAAACAGTAGATGTTAACGCCGGCAGTTTTATATGGGCCTATAGCATAATACTCAAATTCCAATAGGAAGAATGTCTAATCTGACGACTACCCGTTTCTGGAACCTTCTTCCTGCAATGACCCCCCTGAGACCAAGAGGAGCGCCGGTTCCATCAGTTTATTGCCGGACAGACATGTCGGAACCGGCCGAGAGGTTGGACCTCTGGACCACGGATCGAATCGGTAAACGCACGCAATGACTTCACCTTCGATCTAACCATACTCGCAAGGCTAGAGCAATTCTCAATTTCAACTTGCCGTGCGTTCCTTCGGTTGCCACTCGTATCCAACGGCTGGATTTCGTTTATGGGAATGGCAGAGATGTGATATAAAATGCACCTACTGCGATGGCAGGAGTGCCAGGTTATCGGTCATAGCCATGTCAGCGTTCCCTTCGTGCATTCTTCCTTCTGAGCATGATCCTCGCCAATGGAGCAAGCGAAAACGGTGGACGATAGCCCTCATAATCTGGAACCTCATTGCTCCAATGTACGGCGTTCAGCTTCGGTACCGTATTGGATTGCGAGCTGACGATAATTGTCCTCCAGTGATATGGCGAACACGTTCTATGTGCGTTTGTAGAAGCTCATGGTGTTCTTTGCTTTGCATTGATCAGTCGTTCGATGTGTAGTCTGGAGTGCAAGACCAGGTACAGGAAGAGTTTGGCACATCGAATACCCTCGCGACTTTAGGTGTGGGGTTATACAATCTCGTGAGCTTAGCCTATCTTCCCTGTACTTATCATTCCAATGCTCTTCCTAGGGCGTTGTATTTGGGGTACTCTTCGGAGGACCACTGAGTGAACTTTATGGTCGTCGACCGGTATATATCGTCTCATCTATATGTTTCGTTGGTATGCACTCCCTCCCATTCTTTGATGAATATGCTGAGTTTTATTAGCCTTCAGTCTCGGTTCAACACTTTCGCTAAATATATTCGCTCTCTTGATCTGCCGGACACTTATGGGCCTATTTGGGAGTCCTGTCTTCTCGATCTACGGTGGCTCAGTGGCAGACCTTTTTACGCCGGAAGAACGAGGCCCGGTGGTTGCATTATTTACACTCGTGTTACAAGGTGCCCCAACCATCGGGCCTGTCCCGTCCTCTTTGCTAGGGCCCTTTTTTCCTTGGCGACGGCTACTCGATCTTATAACCATCTGGGGTGGGGTTCTTGCTACCGTCACAATATTGTTCGTCCCCGAAACCGAGCCTAGAACAATTCGAAGGAAGATAGCCGAATCCGAAGATGTCGATATCAAAGAAATAAATTCCTCCAGCAAGGTTTGGACTAAAGCACTACTTACGCCGATCAGTGAGTACTTTTTCTCCAATTCATCCGTTTGTATCGGGTACTCATCTACCTTCCCTTTTCTTCAGCCATACTTCGTAATGAACCTATCATGATCTGGACTACGCTATACCACTCCTTTGTCTTTGGGCTCTTGTTCCTTCTCCTCGAGGTGCGTAGGCTGTTACCCACCTTTCTTCAGAACTAAATTGATCTTTTCCTCAGGTATACCCGCATATCTACGACACTCATTATTCTATGTCGCGAGAACAAGCTGGTCTGGTCTTCATTGCCCCATTCGTTGGGAATGTGCTTGGCGTTCTCGTATACTTTGGATACCATAAACCACTGTACGAAGCGCGCCAACGCACAATTCAGATCGAATCAGGTGGTAAATTAGAGATTGAGCCTGAAGCCCGCCTACCTGGTGTTCTTCTTGCATCGCTTCTTACTCCCATCGGATTATTTTGGTTGACGTTTTCGGCACAGCCGGACATACATCATATATTCCCTACGCTTTCAGGTGTTCCGATTGGGATGGGAATGACTCTCTTGCAACTTTCGTTATTCAACTACTACATTGACCTTTACCCAACTATGTCGGCATCCGCTATCGCTGCAAACACTGCCGTCCGGAATATCGTAGCGACTGTGCTGCCGACCGTCGGGGTGCCACTATACACTTCCTTGGGTATACGCAATGCGAACGTGTTATTGGCATGCATCAGCTGTATAGGGCTCCCGACTGGTGTTATTTTGTATGTTTTCGGAAGAAAACTCCGGGCGGCGAGCAGATGGGCCAAACAGGCCGCAGGTGCTAGCCCGCTTCCGCGGGAGAACATCGAGGCGGTCGCCCCTTTGCTTGCCCAACCCCCTCAAAATCATTACGGAGGAACTCGTTCCTTCGAGTAAAAATGTCATGATTTATGACACCTGTTTCCTTTTTGAAGTCGATGTGCCATGCTAAAATTTTCAACTTCATCTCCATGGTACACCAAAGAAAAATCTCAAGTCGGACGGTGATACTCCTTGTACTCCTTTTAAGTATACTGTCTCGCAGTCTAGAATAGCTTTGGACGGTTGACGCCGCCCTCAACTTTGTAATTATCAGGCAGTAGATTCGTCCATACCTATCATCTGGATTGTTTTGTAAATCTGCCACACCAAAATACACTCCATTGTCGAGCAGCGCATCATCACCGGAGGATGGTAATAGTAAACTGTACACAAGTCTGTGGGAATTGTACGACGACCGCTGATTGTCTGTGTTCGAAGCGCGGGCTCCGGGCAATAGCACCGAAACAGGCCTGGCTGCGTGCAACACTTGTTCAAGACATGACGATCTTTTGCGGCTTCCGTACAACTTTTTCAGTCGCCCGGAGGGAATCTTGATGTCCCATACAAAACCTGTGTGCCTTGTCATCTCGTTGCTCAAGAGATTTCGTAGCATTGTGAGTTGAGTTGCTGTTGTTGCAACCATCTGCCGGTGCTGGTCGAAGAAGAAACTCCAATAATAAGTTCGAGAAATCTCTGACGGCCCTCCATCTGGCCTTGGGGCGCAGCAATCATAATACTAGCGCTCGTCTTCCCTTCGTTCACACCGGTACATACATCCCTAGTGTGCCTTTTGCTTTTGCCACTTTAAACGCTTGGCGGCGTCCCACAGCACGCTGTCGATGTTAAACAGCATGCATTGGGAAGCCGCCAAGCGTTTGAGAAACTCGCTCTTTGTTTCTACAGGCGATCGATTCGCGAAGTATCGAGAAAGGTATCGGGAGTTATTGAGTTTCGAAAGGTAAGCCTATTTGGTATTTACTAAATGTATGGCGGTGATGCGAAGCCAAATCACGGTGACGTCGAGGGCGAAGCTGAATTATTGGCATAGCGCAAATGACCTTCCCGAAGCTGCGAGGTAGGATATCGTACTACATTAGCTCTTTTATACTGTAGGAGACAGGCACGAAATATTTCAAGGTACACATACGGGCGAAGCAGGATCAAAGCCAATAAGAATATTAGAACAGAGCTGTCACAACGTCCTCAACATCTGAACATGTGGTCCTTCCACATCGAACCGATTCCTTTGAAGTGACAGTACCACGATAGGATCTTCCTTAACGACTACTCGCAAACCCAGACAGATGGTCTGTGTTAGTTAAGGTAGTGGAAAGAACCGTATGACCCTTCTTATGCGATAAAAGACAGACACGAAAATGTCAGAGGTACTATTAGCACGGTTAAGAACGGAACAGAAATTAATATAGAGAAGTGAACACATCTCGTTATAGGCTTTCTATCATCTATGCATTAGCGCTTCAAGTTTCAGCATCGGGCCAAATCCTTATAGAACATACGACGCAAAAAAGTATCACTCAATATCCCGTTTGCATATCACCGTGTTACACAGTCGTACACACGGTAGCGACGTGAGCTGCGAGGAATTCCCGAGAGGATGATTTTGCTAGCTGTCCCAGTTCATCGTGGTGGAAGGTAGAAGTGTCCAGGGTCGTTCACCAAGCCAAGCCTTGTCGTTTGTCCCTGCGAAGCTTCAAGCTACTTTGGACTCCCCCCAGCCATGAAAAGGCTCACCCAGGACATGGAGAAAGTAGTTTCCCCTCCTCCAGCTCTGCGCTCGAAGCGTCCATTTTCTCGACTAAATTATTTTGATGTTGACTGCGCGAAGGGGGACGTTGTGGGAGTAGCAAGATCGGCAAGTTCGACTAAGACACGGTGGGAGTACCATGTCCTTCAAAGGAAATCGACAAGATGGCAGGTAGCGGCCAAAATTAAAAAAAACTGGAGCGTGGCGTGGAGGAAACTTGGCTGCCACTTCGCAGATCTTCGACGAGCGGAGAACCGTACGGACGACCGCCGCAGAAAATTAATTGACAGCCTGCTCTCGACGGGGAGCTGTTAAAAAATACGTGGAAAAATTGACTGTATTGTCGTTAAAAGACGAGGTTCATTATGAGAGCCGCTGGCATTGGCGGAGTTCGAGCGAGGGACCTCACACCACTTTCGCACCAGACCCATTCCCACCTTCTGACGACTTGAATGCCCTCCGCCTCTTGCGATGGCGGGCTCTGTCGCGACATTCGGACATTATTTCGTTGGAGCGCAGGCAACAACCAAAGATTCTTGGAGACGTTATCGCACACCTCAGATCTGGCGCCCACCGCAGACACAGAATTTCCGGTCGATCGTCTGCTAGTTTCTGCACACGACAGCCACGTCAGCTCCTTTAATATCAAGAGGGGGGTCACCACAACTTGTCTAGCTTCGATGAGGCCCTCTTCGTGACAAAGCACCACGGTGGAAAATTCGAGCAGTATCGCTATGGAGCGCAGGTTGGTTTGCCTTGTCGCAAAACTCACTCGACGCACGCCAAAGCACGTTGGCATCTTCTAATTCCTGACCAAGTTCAAATGGTGACAACGGGAACTGGTTGAGGGGAGTCGTCGTGTTTGGGGTCGCACAGGTACAGCATGACTAGTGAGTGTCTTGGTTCACTCAAACGCGCTCCATTTATTCGGAGGCACGATCGGACGAGGGTATTAACGCAGCCTCGGTTGACAGACAGCTTTCTTGCTGGCGGTTCTCCCTTGAAAAAAGTTGAAGCGGGCAATTTCTTCTTGACTTCATCTTCTCCTATCACACTAGTGGCCTTGGAAACAGTGTTGAAGCATTCGAGTTAAGTTGCACTGCAAGATTCGTGATGGCGGTGAGCAACTTGCCTGTGGGATTTTGCATACAAGTAACAGCAGTGTGACGTGGCATGCCCCTTTTTCGTGTGACAGGTCACGCAACATTCTCACCCACGTGTGTTGGGTTCACGTTGGGATTGCATTCGCGACAAAACTGGGAGGATGGTGTAGAACGTGTATATGCACCAGCGATGCGTACAGACAAGGTTACATGGACGACAATATTTTGTGGTGCAAGCCGTCTCGGTCAGAGGACCCGAGGTGGTGTAACCCACTGGTACCATGAAGTTCAGCGTCGCCGTCGGTTTAAATTTTTCCTGTGTTATCGATGACAGGATTTAGAAACCTGGTCTCAATCATAGGAAACTTACGATGTGATGGAAGTGGGTCTATCCCACTTCGGCCCTTTTTGCAGGGTGATAGTTCCGGAAGGATGGCTCCTCACATCTAGTGACGCGTCGTGCATGGCTGGCAACGAAATCATCTTCATTCTGGCGCGCAAGCCTTGGATTGGTGTCCAGAGTTCCCGTACGAGTGGGATGCCGCCGCGGAGGCAGATGTGTGTTGGCCCAGCGCATGTGGCGAATACCAATTCGAATAAGCGCCGCGATAGGTCCCCGTTTCTGGATCTCAATGTCAACCCTGGCGGAGTCTACGACATGGACCATTGACTCAATTCATCCCATTTTTTGCCTTCTGTTGTATATTTTGAACCCCGTTTTAATATTTAAGCTCTGGATCGCAGCCCAGGGTCCCTGTCTTCTTTTCTTCTTTTCACCCTCTTTCCTGCGGTACACGATGGACTCGGGAAAACTACCAAACTACAAATCGTCATACTTGTTCAGGTTCCATCCTTACGCGAGAGTGAAGCCCTCCGCCCGCGAGAGAGTGATGGTAAGTGGCAGCGTCTGCGAAACTTGTCAGTTCGGAGTGTTCATGGTGACTAGGCTGTTCTGTACACCTCTGACGACAATGGCTTTTTTTCTGAGGACCAACGCTTTATTCCATCGTATCGAACTGCCGTCTCGGACCCTGTGAGGCCTTCGTGACATTCCCAAGTATTTTTTTGTTGATCTTTGCTCCAGAATCCGTCTACTGTCATCGCTCCGAACCTGGATGACGTTGTCAACCTCACGGACTCTGTCGATGCGCCCCGACGGAAGCTGAGCATGTCCACCCTAGTGGTAGTAAGTACAACTACTTTCATCACAGAACGAGGTTCATCGTGAATCACATAGGACCTGGCGCTGTTGATGTGTCGCAAGCCATCCCCTACCGATTGATCGTGAGCACGGAGGGTTAATCCCAGCTTCAGCAATGACTTCTGTCCTGTATAACTTTGTGACCTCTATCTTAATTACACTTCCCTCCTCTCCTTCGTTGACCTAACACCGGCAGGTCTTCGGACACGTTGTGTATAATATCTAGTATATGGGAACATATGAACTGCAGTTTAATACGAACGTCACTATCATCCGAGAAACTGGTTCTCGGCTTATTGGAGATTGAGACGTACTGTATTGCACACTCGAAGGTCAGTCTGCTTACTGCAAACTTGATCCCTGTAGAAAAGAAAACAGTGGAGGGGGATCATGCAGACTTCAAATTTTGCTTGTCTGCAACGGTATGGCATAACCAATGACATCTCCTTCATCCCATGACTTTCCACTCGGCGTTCTCCATCTCTCCTACTTCCGCATGCTTGGTGCAAAATTTATGATGAATAAGGTATGTGGAGGTGGAGCCACATAGACCAGGTAACATTATCGGACAAGCACCATGCGGTGACTAGAACGAAGTTAACGACAGTTATTGGACAGACATCGGATCTCCAAGACTCCACCTTGTCTTATAGAGATAGTATGCCGTCGCAAAGCACGTGAATGACGCAACCACGAGGAAGATAACAAAAACGGGAAGTTTGCGGTCTTGGGTCAACGGCGATGGCTCGTTGGCCTTCGTATGGCCACTTCGCAGGTTGGACCCAGGTCGACTACTTCGAGGTGCACGCAATCGATAGGTACCCTTCTCATTCGTGACGGAGGGTGATTGAAAAACGTATCTCGACGACATCCTTTGTAGCAGGCACTCGACAAACTTCTACTTCGCAAAACGAACTTGACGATTATGTAAGCACCAACGCGGAATCTGACCACGGACTAACATGATTCTATTTAGGAGAAAGAAAACTAACATGACTCAACCCGCAACGACTTCAGCAATTCTAAGGTGCCGGTTTGTGCACTTGTTCAAAGCAGCCAACCTCGATGTTCAGACGCTGGAGTGAGGGGAGTATCGGTGGCGTGGTAAGGTCACAGTCAAGTCGTGCAAATATTGCAGATGGATCAGCTCGTGCACACTACTGGACGAAACATCCGCTTTGAAAGAGAAGCTGCGCAGATAAGGAATTTCGCCGAAGTTCACCGTCAAGGGGAGAAGTGCGAAACAATAACGGTCAGCGTTGATCGACAATACTTGAAGGGATAGTGCACAAGCTGGCATGAAATACAAAACGCTACCGGGGTGGTATCCAGAGATCGAGAAGCTCAGCCGAACAAGGTGGGGTAAACTAACGGGGTCAGGGAACGTGATTGAACTTACAGGCAATATTTCGTCGAAAACTTCGATGTTCAGAGTGTGAAGCGATGGAAAGAACTCATGAGATAAGGGCAGCGAGAAGACGGTGTCCAAATTTTTTTGGGCGGATTGTGGGTAGCGGGAGCGTGGTGTGATCAAAGGTTCGTATACGGCATGAATATCTTTTCAGCGAGAGCCAGTCATCGTACGAAGGTTCCTGCAGGAGAGACTGGCAGGAATCAGCAACCTACCACTATGATGCGCAGGTGCAGACATCGTACCACCACCCTGCCGCTCCAATGTACCTCTAGAGTCCAGAAGTGCTCAGGAAAGCACATGATGAGCGGACTCAGGGAAGATTGCGTTTCCCAGAGAACATCAAGTGCCGGGTCCATGAACGCCTTGCAGCACCTTGCAAGTCTTGCAATGTCCTTGTGACAAATAGCACAGATTCCATTCGAGTTGCCAACTCTTTCATCTACCAAGAATCTGATAATGAGATCCAGAATTTCGGTGATTCCAAGGCAGGCATGCATGACGCGTCGAGAACGTGTGTGGAAACGAGATTTTCTCTACACGAGAGTATTCCAATATGTACTCAACAAAATAGTATAGGAGCAAACCACACTAATACGACTCACTGTAGAGGGCTGCGGAAGTTAAAGGGGTGCAAGCATCTGAAATAAGATAAAAGGCCATATCAGAGAGTAGTCAAGAATATCTCATGTCCTATACAAGGTCGCATACCTCTTGACGCTGTCATTCACAAAGTCTTTTGTTTGCATCTTAGTCTGGAATGGGGGCATGGCAACGATGAGTTGGAAGCAGTGATTTCTTCAATTTACCAAGGCGTAAGTTGACAATGCGACTCGAGTACCACCGATTCACCGTCAAGCCAGATTACGGGCATTGTGCTCAAAAGGGTAGCGGAACCGAGAAATGGATGGTGTGTCTCCCCTCCACCAACTCCCAGTTCCAAGTGTACTTTTCCACGACGGTGGGTGCGCGAAGGGGGTTGCAAAGTGGGAAAATCAAAAGGGCGGAACGCGCGACGATGAAAGATGGCTTTGAAAAAACGTGGAGACGAGTATCGCAGTTTGAAGCGTTCAGTCAATTCGATGAGGTGGGACTTAGAAGCTTCATGCGGGATTGTCATACACCGTGTCAAAGCCTTGTTACGCATTTCCTAGGGTCTTCAACAAATATGAATGATTCCAGATGAAACCAATGAATATCTCGACGGGGGGCCGAGGGGGAAAAAAAGGGTCTGGGTGTATTGTTGTAGCCAAGAGATGTCAGTCAGTTTGTTTTTCAGGTCTATTAAGTGGCACAAATCGAGGTCTTCTACATACGTAAGGCATCATTTGTGCTGTCAACGTACCAGCCCCTCCGGCAGACTTGAAACGGCTGCCTCTTTAATCGCGACGCTCGGGTTTTATCTCGTGGAAGCGTTGGAGTAAGGAAGACCCAGAGTCTCTTGGAGAACTTCACCGCACACACCAAATCCCGCGTTAAAGACAGGATTTCTACTCGACCATCTGCACGCTAGGGCATGTGAGCATCGGGCAGCGAAATCTTGTCCAGCTGCGGTCGGGCGAGCCTCATCCCAGTGAAAAATTCCAAGTGACTTTGCTATGATGACATCTTCTACTTCTTGATCCTTCAAAGCGGTTGGACATGACAGTTGGTTGAGCCTGGGTGGCGAGTCATACAATTGAAGTGAGGGGAGTACTAATTGCATGGACGGACCCATGTCGATATCGAAGTCATCAGGTACGATCACAGTCAAGTCGTGCAAGTATTGCAAATGAATCAGCTCGTGCATACCACTAGGCGAGATTGCCACATTCCAAGAGAGACCGAAGCTGCGCAGGTTCGGCATTTCTTTGAACCTTACCGCTAAAGTGGTACTACTGGTCCCCGGGAAGCTGATTATCAACACTTGCAGAGACGGTGCACAAACCGGCATGAAACATAGGGTTTCATCAGAGTCCGGGCGCAAGGGTGGATAGATTTCGAAGCTCAACTGAATGAGATGCGGTAAAGGGATGGAGGAGAGTAATGAGAGTGAATCTACACCCTCTGCATCGATGTTGAAAGGGGGGTTGAAGGAACCAAGGTGCAGCGTGTGAATCGACGGAAAGAGTTCGTAGATTAAGCCCTATGAAAAGATGGTTTTCAGACTATCCTCATTGACCAAGGGTAACATCAGGCCAGTATAATTGAAAGCTCGGATTCGGCATGAATACTTTTTTCAGCTCGGCCCAGTCCTCATGCGAAGGTTCCTCCTCTCGAAACTGTGGCAGGCGTCAGCGACTCTACCGCCACAGGTGCAAGATGGCATACCAGGATCCTGACGTCCCCAACTACCTCTATAGTTCAGAGGTGATCAGGCAAGCACATGGGCAAAGGACTCAGGGAAAATTGCGTCTGCCAGAGAGCGTCAAGTGCTGGGTCCCTGAATGACTTGCAACGTCTTTGTGGCGAACAACACAGTTTTAATACATGTCGCTAGCGTGTTCATTCACCAAGGACCCGATGATGTGGCGAAGAATTTCGGAGACTTGAAGACAGAGATGCATGTCGTTTTATTGGAGAGGCAGGGCGCGAGAGGTTGATTAGGAAAGGGTGCCACTGGGCCCCAGTAGCAGGGGGATGAGCGGCGCAGTAAGCTCTGGGGATGAACAATTGACTTAGGTGGGTGATTGATATGGTAGTAATATGTACATAGTAGTAACCTGTAATACTGTATTGCGAGGGTCTGCAGCAAAACAGAAAGTACTGACACATTAGTGCTGATAATTCATGAACCTGTCAAGCACCGGTTGCTCTGAACAGGGTAGGTGACATGCATTGTTTAATATCCGCTAGCGCTTCCATACAGCCGGTTTAAGCACGGTGGAAGTCTCTTGTGACAGTTCCCGTGACATCTCGAAGTCACTGAGGGCCTCATTCCAACCTTGAGACCCAGCGATTACGGTGCTCCATATTAATCTGGGACTTCGGATCCTGGGAATAGTACCGGCTGGCCGATACTTCTATCAGTGTTTATCCATCAAAAGTGGTCATAATACGGAAAGAATTCGTTATGGCCATATACACGAGACAGTTTGCATTCCTTCATAAGGGGTGGTACCTTCACGTTGCAAAGTGTTGTACTTGCATCGAAACGATAAGCGATAGGACAGAGGGAGGTTGGAATTCATAACCCGACCAGTGTGGTTTGCAAGTCTGATAACAACCAGCGATGATGAAAAGTAAACGTAGCCACTGAAGTACCCACCATGTGGATCATCCCCCCTCAATTAATCCAATCGCGTAAATTTTGTTTGCTCTAGGCCAAGACGACAGCGAAAATGGGTTAGCGATGGAACAAGCCCGAGAAAGGCACGTACGATGGATGAATGTATCACCGAACAAATCGTATTCATACCACCACCTCGCAATCTCGAATACCGAGTGCGATCCAAGGACTGCAAACTGTCAGTTGTCTCACTTCACTGGGTGGAGGGTTAGGGTAGTTGACAAGGGTCACTCGCGTGCCATCAGTGACCTTCGAGTTGGGTTGTGACTCTCGTCCCTGCGAAGTTGTAAGCTGCCCGGACTCCTTCCAGTCTCGAAAAGGCCACACCCAGGAAACGCAGGAAGTAGTTTTGCCTCCCCCAGCTCTGTGCTCGAAGCGTCCATTTTTCCCAACCAAAATATATCAGTGTTGGTTTCGCGAAGGGGAACGTTATGCGGGTGGCAAGGTTGGCAGCGCTGGAATTGCGACAACGGAAGAGAGTGCTTAAAATCGGAAAAGCCACGGGGTACCGCAGGGGAGAGCATTCGAATGGAATAAACGAGGTGGCAGATGCAAGTAAAATTTTCGGTCGGCGGTGTGGCGAAGGGTAGCATATTTGTGGACAAGAAATTCGGTGGCCACTTCGCCGACCTTCAACGAGCAGAGAACCGCACGAACGAGCCCCTCAGAAAATTAATCGAAAGTTCGCTCTCGACGGGGAATTGTTGAAAAATGCCCAGCAGAATTGTTTGTACCGTAGTTGTCAATGGGAGAGTTTAATAAGGCCCATCATGAGAACGGCTGGCGTTGGCGGAGTTCGAGAGAAGAACCCACAACACTTTTGCACCAGATCCACTTGCACAGGAAATTCTGACGACTTGAACGCATCGCACCCCTTACCATGGCTGTCGTGACATTCTGGCATTATTTCGTCCAGACTTTTGAGTCACAGCGAAAGGTGCAACCCAGAGATTCTTGCAGGCGTCATCGCATACAAATCTTGCGCATGCCTTGGACACAGAATTTCCAGTCGACACGCCTGCTGGTTTCTACACGCGATAGAGCATGTCAACTCCTTTAATGTCAAGAGGGGGCTCAACGCAATTTTGTCCAGCTGCAGTGTGGCGCTCTCCATAACAAGGTACCGCGGTGAAAAATTCGAGCGGTTTCGTTATGGAGTGTAGGTGGGTTTTCCTTGTCGCGGAACTCACTCGATGTATGCCAAAGCAAGCCAGGATATTCCAATTCTTGATCGAGTCCAAATGTTGATGATGGGGGCTGGCTGAGGGAAGTCGCCGTTTTGGGGTCGCACAGGTGCAGCATGACTAGTGAGTGTTTTGGTTTACTCAAATGTACTCCATGCAGTTCCGAGGTACAATCGGACGAGGCTATTGACGCAGCCCCGATCGACAGTCATGTTTCTTGCGGGTAGATTTCCCCTGACAACTTGAAGCGGACAATATCTTCATGGATTCTTCTGTTATCACACAAGCGTAGTCTTAGAAAACAGTGTTGAAGCAATTGAGTTGAGTTGCACAGCAAAACTCACGATGGCGGTGAGCAACCTGCTTGTAGAATTTGACGCACTTTGGCAGTAGCGTGACGTGACATGCCCCTTTTCGTGTGACAGGTCACCAATCTCACCCACTACTAGTGTTGGGTTCGCGTTCGCGACAGAACTGGGAGGATGGTGTAAAACGTGTATATGCACTAGCGATGCGTACAGGAGGCTACATCGACGACGATATTTTGTGGCCAGGTTGTCTTGGTCAGAGCCGAGGACCCAAAGCTACGCTGGCACTATGAAGCTCAACTGTGCCGTCGAAATTCTTCCTATGACTTGTCGATGGCTGAATTCAGGAACCTGGACGCGATTAGTGGAAAACTTTCGAGGTGAAGGAAGAGGGTCTACTTCACTACAGCCCACTTAGCAAGGTGGTGGTTCTGGACGGATGGCGTGCGAGTCTGGACGCATCGTGCGTGGCTTGCAACGAAGGTAGTTTTAGTCTGGCACGGGAAGGCTTGCATTGGCATGAATATCGTGGCCAAGGGCCCTGGGACTCGTGGGATACTGCCGCGGAAACAGATTTGTGTGGGCCCAGCGCATGCGGCGAATGTCAAATTCAAAATAACGCCGCGATATGTCCCCACAGCGTTTCAACTCTGGCAGAGTCCGCGATATGGTCTGTTGACTCGATTTACGGCTTGCCCGTTCCCTTCTATTGCACATTTTAGACCCCGTTTTGATATTTGAGCGCTGGATCGCAGGCCCCGGTCCCTGGTATCTTCTCTTTTTTTTTCACCCTCCTCACTCTGCAATCTTTCCTGCGGCACATGGGAAAGCTACCGAACCACAGATCAGTTATACTTGCTCAGGTTTCATCCCTACGCGAGGGTGAAGCCCTCTGCTCGCGAGAGAGCAATGGTAAGTGGTGGTGTTTGCATAACCCAACCAAGAATGCTGACGGGTGACTAGGCCGCTCGGTACACCTCTGACCCTGATGGCCTTTTTTCTGACGAACAACGCATTATCTCTTCGTATCAAACTATGGTCGCGGACTCAGTGAGGTTTCAGTGCCAACCCCAGGTATCCTTACCCTGACGACTTTGGCTCCAGGAATCACTCTCTCATTATCGCACGGGGCCTGGATAATGCTGTCAACGTCACGCACTCTGTTGATACGCATCTCCGGAACCTGAGCGTGTCCACTCTGGTGGCAGTAAGCACACCTACTTTCATCGTGGAATGAACGAGTTTCATCGTGAATTGCGTAGGACCTAGCGGTCTTGATGTGTCGAACGCCGTCCCCCACCGGTCGACAGTGAGTACGAAGAATTAATCCCAGCTCTAATGAGACAGATAAAATCACTGCTATCTCGTAGATGCACCGGCGCGACGTCTATTTTAGTTTAGTTACTCCTCGCTCGCTCGCTATTTCCTTTGGTTCTTCTCTGCGTCCGACAGCAGTATGTTTTCAGATATTTCTTGTATAGTCTAGTATCTAGTACGGCGAAGTATAAAAACTGCAAGTTAATAAGAACCTAGTTGTAACCATCCGAGAACCTGCGGAATTCTCGGCTTGTCGGGAATCGAGACGTCCTTTTCTTTGCAACCAGATATTGCCCCTAGTGTTCACCTGCTCGAGCAAACTACTCCCAGATTGGAGCGCCCCCGACCTCGAAGGTGCCTCCACCGGTAGGAATGATGGCAAGGGGAATGTAGCTCATACCGGTGCAATGGCGAGGCGTGGTTTCCTTACCGTGACGCTCGAATGTCCCTTTACCCATCCCCATGCGCGTTTCGTTCCCCTGGTGCAAAATTCTCAGAGAAAACCGTCCATTACCAAGACAGACCCCTAGAATGCAAAGCTTTTCCCTCTTGGTGACTTCCCCGGCGACCATGAACTGTTTTTGAGGTGAACTTGGCGCCCGGTGGGATGCTGCTTGACCCACCTTACGACGATCCTGCAATGGTCTTCCTAGCGCTTAATATTCGCACAGAGAACACTTTGGTGACTGCTTACTTGGATCACCCGATTTCCTATCCCTGCTCCTGCGGATAAGAGCAAGGTTAGCTTAAAGTCGTCGCAGTCGGCAACCAAAGTTGATCTTCGTTACGCGCTATAGTTCGAATTCCCCGATACTCTGTCGACTACAGGAACAAAAAATAAGAAAGTAACGTCATCAGGTAGAGTGGCAGGACAAACCAAATTCGAATGGATCTCATTCTTCCCGAGTCTCTTAAGGGTACGTCAGCATGCGCATTCAGAGTTTCTTTTGACTCGACCGCCCGCTCCAGCCCTGATGCACCGTTGAACCCAGGTGCAGGCCCGTGTTCCGGTGATTGGGGGCAAGTAGCGATGAGGAAACACCAAGAAGGAGAAAATTAATGCAGAGGGATGTATAAATGACTGATATTGCACCGTATCGCATGGACGGAGCCAACCTGACCTCGTGGTGGTCAGGACGTCCAGACTCATGAAGGCGAGGAAGGTGAAGAGACTAACGGAGGTAATGAGCAAGGAAACGGATTGACAAGAAGTAGAAAGTAATTCTGAAGTATGAATGCAGGACCTTCACGGGCGAAAGGATCAAAGGCTCTGGAGCTGAAAGAATAAAAGACTGCTTAAATTTCGGACTGTTGAATTCCGTTGAGATTGGGCGATGTCGTCAATCCGAAAGGCTTGAGGTTGTCCTCGGGGGTTACTACATGAGTTTAATAGGGCGATAGGGAAAGCTTGGTAAAACAATAAGAAACGCACTAATGTGAACTGTAATTCTTCTCCTGATCGCTGTGATACAATCCTGTAGACAACGCTACGGTACGGGAAACTGCCATCATTCCAGGCACAGTGATTCCAACCTTGGTGCGAGAATTCTAAGACATCGTTCTACCGCCGTCCGACCTTCTATGCAAGAGGGAATAATGCGGAGCTTCTTAAGAGAGATAACAAATGCACTTCTGGCTCTTTCAAAGGCAGAGTCCTCGCATTGATAGCCGTGCACGGTAAGGAAAGTCGTGGGCAGCCTCGCAAGAGCACACGTGTGCTTTCCGTTGTTAAATGAGTCTTCCGCTCTTGGAGTTTGTATAGGTACAGGATCTCGATATCAGGCCGCGCTTGCATTGCCCGTGTGACTAGGCGCTGTCAATATCCAGTGTACCGAAAGAAACGAATTTGAGAACGCGCGAGCGGTGGCAGGCAAGAAGGAGTGTCACTGTTGATTGAGGGAAGTCGTAGGAAGGATCGGAGGTGAGAACCCGACGGGGGCGTCGCGCGTAGAGCGCGTGGAAGTTTGGAGAGCGTTTGTAGATGCGCTTGATCTCCAGGAACAGTGCGTAGAGGTCACTGTGGATGGCAGGCGAGCAATGGAAAACCTCAACAGAACTGAGTTGGGATGAAGTGATAGAGGAAAGCAAGTTGGAACGATGATTCAAAGAGCGAACGATCACATTCAAGCGTTGGAGTGAGGGGAGGGTCGACTGCAAAGATGGACATACGTCGACACGAGATCCATCGTCGACATCGAATCCATCAGGTAAGGTCACCACTAAGTCGCGCAAAAAATGGATCGACTCGTGCAGATTCCTAGGCAAGATATTCATATCACGTGTGAGGGTGAGGCTGCAGGTAGGGTATTTCGAAGTTCACTCTCGGGGGAGGCGTAAACCACTGCAATACATCTGGCGATGCATTGACTATCAACGCTTGGAGGGGTGGCACACAACCCGATTAGGGGTAAACGGATGTGGTCAAGGAACAGGATTGGGTTTAGAGGTGGACTCTGCTGAAGATGTCGGCGTTCAGAGTATGAAGCAACAGGAAAAGCTCGTGAGATAGATTCGGCGAGGTGTCCAAGGTATTCTTGGAGACTTGAATTAAATGTGGCATGCTATGGTCAAAAGCTCGGATTCGGTGTGAATATCAATATCTTTCAAGCTCAGCCAGTCTTCATGCGAAGGTTCCCTGTAGGAAAGACTGCGTCAGGCGTCAGTGACGTATTACCACGGGTCCACATGACATACCAGGACCCCGATATCCCCCAATTTACCCCCACAGTCCAGAGGAGGGCGGGCGGGCACATAGCAACAGAATTCAGGGAAGGCTGCCCTTGGTCCTTGAATGTTTTGCATGTCCTCGCAAGTCCTGCAATGTCCATGTGACGAATAAAACAGGCGTTATCAACCCTCTCAGGCACCAAGAATCCAATAATGTGGTAAAGAATTTCGAGAATTCGAAGACAGTCGCGCATGTCGTGTCCCATCCGCTGCTTGTGGGGATGATTCGATGATCAATGAGAGGTCATTTGATTTGTACTTCATACTCCTTCGCGACGTCCGTCTCCATCAGTCTTCCTTCGTTCTTCCTTTCCTAAGTCCGACCGGGGCTTCTAGTACGACGAAGCATCAAACACGCAGGGTTACCTAGTCTGCGGATTCTCGGGTCCCTGGTGGTCTCCCAGCCTTGTAGGCAGACCACAAGACGATGGACGTTCTTTTTCGAATGCTCATTGGAGCCGTCGCAATGATTACGATGTTAAACTTACGATGCCAGTTCCATGAGGGATGGTTGACTTGACAAGATATGGGATCTCGAGGTACTGCAACGCTACCCATACAGTGGACGAACGGACAGCAGCAACCAGCAGACACCGTGACGCCATGGTCTGCTTGTTTGTGATAGGACTTGTCCATCGTTGTGACGTCATCGAAGACGGAGGAATCGTCGGAGATTGTTATTTGTACGGGTTGTTGGTTTCACGAAAGTCCAAGCGTACGCCTACTTTCACATTCCCGGCATGGAAACAGAGTGTGCGTTTAGATCCTGTGGTAATCTTCGTGAATAATTAGAGTCCTCCATGAGCATTGAACGACAGTCGCAACAGTCACACTCGAGTACTTGGAAGAGCTAGTTCTGTGTTATTTAGTTTCTTTGTTGCTATCTCACACATTCTACTATTTGTCTGGCGTCTACGCCAACTAAACGAAGCCTTCTTCCTTCTCGCTCAGGCAGGTTGAAGGCGAAGAATAATTACTTGATGCCATAGACACTCATGGGTCTTGTTGAGCGTGCTGAGTTCGAAGTTGGCGGAACGGGGTTATGGAAGGAACTCGGAGAGCTTGGGCTGGCAGACATCCTCGTCCTGTGGCGGGTGCATGGAATAATGCGAAGATCACTAGGGCTATTTAGAGCCACCGATGTCCTCAAACATTATCGCGGACTCGAACTTGCTCGAGGACTGAACAGACTCTTGCAGCACCGAGCTTCTGTGTGGTAAACAATCTTACCCGAGGTCGAGGTGCGAATAGTTCTAAGGATCTCGACCAGTTATGCATTCAACCAGCCGAACACGAGTCAAGTGGCGAAGTACAAACTGTCAAGTATAGGTTGCCGCTCCATGGCAGATTTAACTTCAAATCGTTTTTGCTGTTAGTTCACCGAATGTGATATGAGCGCAAGCACGAAGTAGAAGCGTCACAGTGAGATGGTAAGCAGTACTAGTGTTAGAGGGGAGTACTAAAATACACTCTACGATGTCTGACCTGCAGCAGCAATGGACACGACTGACGCTGGCGAGGATGAAGGTCGTACAACCATATTGCCTAAGCGACGCAGAGACTGTCCAGTCGAATGTCATTGGTAGTATGTCCCATGTCTGACCATGTCTGACGGAGGGCCGAAACAGGGTGACAAATGGTTAAAATCGAAACAGGCAGGGAAGAGAACAGTGGGTCTATACGGTCCTGCAATTATAGTTCTCCATGATACACCGGGGTTTCGGATCATAGGAGTAGTGCCAATTGGCGAGCACCTCTTCGAGTGTATATCCGCCAAAAGTAACCATAACACGGAAAGGGCTCGTTGTTGCCACATACATGAGACAGTTGGATTTCTTCATCTCGCCGCAAAGGGGGATGTACAGATGTACAGATCGTGCCTCCGCGCAGGGGAGTTTGTGATTCATAACCCGACCATACATATTGATTGGTGTAGTTCACAAGTCTGATAACAACCAGTGGTGATGAAAGTAAACGCAGCCACTAATGTACCCACCATGTGGATCCTCCTCCTTCATTTTAATGCTATCGCGTGAATTTTACTTGCACGGCAGCTAAGACTGTACCGAAAACGGGTTAGCAATGGAACAAGCCCGGGGGAGGCACTTACGATGCATGAAAGTATCACCGAATATATCGTATTGGTGTTGCCGCGTTACAATATGGAATAACAAGTGCGATTCAGAGACGATAAACTGCCAGCTGTGTCACTTCATGGAGGGGAGGAATTAGGGGTGGTTGACAAGGGTCGCTCGAGTGCCACCAAGCCGGCTTGTGACTCTTGTCCCTGTGAAGTTGTAAGCTGCTGTGGACTTCCCCCAGTCTCGAGGAGACCACATCCAGGAAATGCAGAAAGTAGTTTTCCCTCCTCCAGCTCTGCGCTCGAAGCGTTTATTTTTCCCAGCCAAAATGTTTCAGCGTTGGTTTCACGAAATGGGACGTTCTGCTCGGCAGCGGAAGAGAGCTCAAATTCAAGTGAAGACACGGGGCACCGCTGGGCAGAGCGATCGAACGGAATCGACGAGGTAGCAGATGAAATTCAAAATTTTGGACGGCGATGTGACGACAGGTGGCATGTTTGCGGACAGAAAATTCGGTGGCCACTTCGCAGATCTTGGACGAGCAGAGAAGCGCACGGAACACTACCACAGAAAATTAATTGACAGCGCACTCTCGACGGGGAAGTGTTGAAAAATGCCCAGAAGAATTGATTGAATTGTCGTTGTTAAGAGACGTTTGTCAGGTCCATCATGAGAGCCGCTGGCTGGGCGAAATTGGCGGAGTTCGAGCGAGGGACCCACAACGCTTTTTCAGCAGACCTACTCCCACCAGAATTTCTGACGACTTGAACACGTCGTACCCCTTGTGATAGTTGTCGCGGCATTCGGGCATCATTTCTTCGAGACTTTGGGTAACAATGAAAGGCAGAACCCAGAGATTCTTGCAGACGTTATCGCACACAAATCTTGCGCCCACCCATAACACAGAATTTCCAGTCGACCATCTGCCAGCGTCTGGATAAGAGGGCGCATGTCAACCCCTTTGGCATCGAGGGGGGGTCACCGCAATCTTGGCCGACTTCCCCGCCGCGTTGTTCGTGACAAAGCGCGACGGTGAAAAACTCGAGCAGCTTCGCTATGGAGTGTAGGTCCGTTTTCCTTTGTCGCAGAACTCACTCGATGCACGGCAAAGCACGCTGGGATCTTCCAATTCTTGATCGAGCCTAAATGCTGACGACGGGGGCTGGCTGAGGGGAGTCATCGTTTGAGGGTCGCACAGGTGCAGCATGACTAGTGAGTGTCTTCGTTCATTCAAATGCACTCCATTCATTCGGAGGCACGATCGGACAAGGGTATTGACGCAGCCTTGGTTGACAGACAGATTTATTGTCGGTAGATTCCCCCTGAAAACTTGAAGAGGGCAATTTCTTCATGGCTTCATCTTCTTCTATCACACGAGAGTGATCTTGGAAAACACTGTTGAAGCATTCGAGTTGAGTTGCACTGGAAGTCTCATGACGGCGGTGAGCAACTTGCCTGTGGGATTTTAGAATGGCGGTAGCGTGACGTGACACACCCCTTTTTCGTGTGACAGGTCACGCAGCACGTTTGCGTTCGCGACAGAACTGGGAGGACGGCGTAAAACGTGTATATGCACCAGCAATGCATACAGGAGGCTACATCGACGTCGATATTTTGTGGCCAGGTTGTCTAGGTCGCCTTGACCAGAGCAGAGGATCCAAAGCCACACTGGCACTATGAAGCTCAACTGTGCCGTCGAAGTTCTTCCTATGTTGTCGATAACGGAATTCAGAAACCTGTTTCGGTCATAGCAAACTTACGACGTGAAGGATGAGGGTCTGTTTCACTGCACGCCTTTTAACAGGGCGGTGGTTCCGGATGGATGGCCTGCGAGACCGGTGTGATCCCGGACGCGTCGTGGGTGGCTGGTAATGAGGGTTATTGTTATTCTGGCACGGGATGTCTTCTGTTGGCATGGATGTGGTCAGGGACTCATGGGATGCTGCCGTGGAAGCAGATGTGTTTGGACCCGGCGTATGTGGTGAATGACAATTCAAAATAAGCGCTGCGATAGGTTCCCGTTTCGAGATTCAACGTTTCAACCCTGGCGGTGTCTACGACATGGTCTGTTGACTCAATTTACGGCTTGACCATCCTATTCTATTGCATGTTTTAGACCCCGTTTGAATATTTAAGTTCTGGATGCTAGCTCCGGGTCCCTGGTGTCTTCTGTTTCTTTTTTTTTTCGTCCTCTTCACTCTGCAATCTTTCCTGTGCTGATGGACTCTGGAAAGCTACCGAATTACAGGTCGTCATACTTGTTCAGGTTTCATCCCTACGCAAGGGTGAAGCCCTCTGCCCGCGAGAGAGTGATGGTAAGTGATGACGTTTGTTGACCCACTGGTTCGGAACGCTCATGGTGGCTAGGCTGCTTTGTACACCTCTGACGACGATGGCCTTATTCCTGACGAACAATGCTTTATACCATCGTATCTAACCGCCGTCTCGGACTCTGTGAGGTCTTGATGGTATTTTCAACATATCCTATTGCTGATCCCCGTTCTAGAATCCGTGTAGCATCATCGCTCAGAACTTAGATGACGCTGTCAATGCCGCGCCCACTGCCGATGCGCCCCGAAGGAAGCTGAGCATGTCCACCCTAGTGGTAGTAAGTACAGCTACTTTCATCGTAGAATCAACTAGGTTCATCATGAATTACCCAGGATTTAGCGATCTTGATGTGTCGCAAGCCACCCTCCACCAGTTGACCGTCAGTACGAAGGTTGATCCCAGCTTTAACCCGAAAGATGAAATCACTTCTACCTCGTGCATTCACCCTTGTGGCGTCTATCTTAATTACGGTACAATTTCATGTATATCTAGTATCCGGTACGATGAAGCACAAACACTGCAGGTTAATATGAACTCTACAGATCCAGTAAGCCAACGTTGTTTTCCGAGTTCTCAGCCTGTCGGGAACCGAGATGTGCTGTATTGCGCACCTGAAGCCCCGTCTATGTACCTAACCCTGTACAAACACAGGACATAGGTGCAGTGGAATCATGCAGACTCTAAATAAGACGTGCCTAATAAAGAAGCACCCATACACACGAAGAGCGTCTTCTACATACGTTCGTGTCATCAAAATGTCGCCCCACTCGGGCAACTCTGGCGCGCTACCTTATGCACCGTTTCACATGGGCGGAACCAGCCTAACCTCGTGACGGCGAGGACACTGATATTGAGGAAGGCAATGGAGGAGAGGAGACTAACGGAAACAGTGGGAAAGGAAGGGCAAGGGCAGATTCGCAAGGAGTCGAAAGCAACGCCGAAGCGTGAAGGCGGAACCTTAGCGGGCGACAGGATCAGGGGCTCTGGGCCTGCAATAGTAAACACCGCTTAAATTCGGACTGTTGAATCTCACGACATCGAGCGACGCCATCCATCGAAAAGTGAGGTTGTCTTCGTAGGTACGAAATGAGTTCAGCCAATAGGGGGATTCCCTCCTAGTTGAACTAGCAGGGAAAGCCTGATATAACAATATGGAATGCACTGTTGTCCCAATGATTAGAATGAAAATACCATCAAAATCAAATGCCATTGCCACATTGCAATCACCAGCGAGGAGTGTGCAGAGAGACCACCATGTATGAAATCAAGCACAAACACCTAGGTTGGCAACAAAATGATCTGTAGAATCCTACAAATTGTGGACTATCAGTGGCGGGAGAAATGGGTGATACAATTCTGTGGAATACGCCACAACGCGGAAAACGACCACTACTTCAGGCGCAATGATTCCAACCTTGGTGCGAGAATTCTAAGATATCGGTCTATCGCGCTCCGATCTCCCATACAAGAGGGAATGATGCGCAACTTCTTAAGAGATAATGAACGCACGCCCGGATCTTCCTCAGGCAGAATCCTCGTATTGATGGCCATACAGAGCGAGGAAAGCTGTCGGCAGCCTTGCAAGAGTTCACGTATGCCTTCCAGTGTTACACATGCTTTGTTCTGTTGGAATCCTTCCAGGTATAGAGCCTCGATATCAGGCCACGCAAGCGTGACCTGTGTGATGAAGGCGTCACCGATATTCAGCGTACCGATAGAGTCGAGTTTGAGAACGCGCAAGCGGCGACATGCAAGGAGGGGTGTCAGTGTCGATTGCGGGAGGTCGAAGGAAGTGAGTTCGGTTTGGGCGCTTGAGCACCGCACGCTGAGCGTGTAAAAGTTTGGAGAGCGTTCGTGAATGCGCTCGATCTCTTGGAACAGTGTGTAGAGGTCACTCTGGGTGGCAGGCCAGCGATGGCAAACCTCAACAGAGCGAAGTTGGTATGAAGTGATAGAAGAAAGCAAGCTGAAACAACGCTTTAGAGAGGTAGCGAGGACACTTAGATGTTGGAGTGAGGGGAGTATCGGTTGCGCGGATGGATATATACCAACATCGGATCTATCGTTGACATCGAATCCATCGGGTAAAGTCACCGTTAAGTTGCATAAATATTGCAAATGGATCAACTCGCGCAGACTACTAGGTAAGATATCCACATGACGAGGGAGGGTGATGGTGCGCAGGTAAACCAGTTGGGGTAAACGGATGTGATCGAGGGACGGGATTGGATTTAGCTCTCCGCAGAGGACATTAGCGTTCAGAGTATGAAGCGACGAAAAAAGCTCGTGAGATAGGCTGGTCGAGAAAAAAGTGTGCAAGGTATTCTTCGAGACTTGAGTTAAATGTAGTGTGTTGCGGTCAAAAGCTCGGATTCGGCGAGAATATCTTTTCAAGCTCAGCCAGTCCTCATGCGAAGGTTCCTGCAGGAGACTCTATGGCGGTCGTCAGTGACCTCGAGGTACAGACGACTCAGGACAGACATACCAGGACACTGATGCCCCTATCTACCTCTATAGCCCAGAGGTGAGCAGGCAAACACATCGCAAGAGGGCTCAGGGAAGACTGCGTCCGCCAGAGAACGTCAAGCGCTGGGTCCTTGAACGCCTTGCATGTCCTCGCAAGTCTTGCAACGTCATTGTAGCGAACAGCGCAGATTTCAATGAAGTCAACCACCAAGAAACCAAAAATATGGTGACAAATTTCGAGGATTCGAAGACAGTTGTGCATGTCGTATCTCGTCCGCAGTGTATGGGAACTATCTTGGGGATGATCGACGATCGATTAGATCTTAGAGGTCTATCTCAATTGGCGTTGCCCATGTTTCCTTTCCTCTGCCGACAGTAGCGGAGCTTTATCTAGCACAACGAACATCGAGCCCGCAGATTACTTGTAAGATTTACCACGCAAGAAACTACGTACCACCGTTTTGTGGATTCTCGGCTGGCGATCGAGGCACACACTTGAAGTCTGAAGACCAGTCTACTTGCTGCGAGCTTGAAGGTAGAGAGGCGGTACCTCGTACGTTTGTCAAGTATCGGTGACCGACTCTTCCGACGCTTATCGTAGTGGGGAATGAACTCGACACCAATCGAACTTGAGTGTGGCACGACCCTTACTACTACATATGTGGTTTGTGAGTGTAATAATTTCGTTGGGCAGTGGCTCCGTCCGTTTGAACAATGTTTATAGGTAGCGCTGGAGTATCTCGAGATTCCCTACAAGGTCAGTATCCCCTTCTCCTTGCCAAGTTAATCATCCCTCATGTAATCCCGCAGTATCGTAAGTCTTACACCGCGATCATTTCGACGGCCCGGTGGTGAATAGACGAAGCCGATCCATACAAGAGTTGACTACCAGGTTTACTCGGGGCCGCCAATGTCCTCAAACGTTATCGTGGACTCGAACTTCTTCGAGGGCCCAAATTCAACGGTTGGTCGAATAGGCTTTGGGAGCATCCCGGGTTCAAGTGTACAGTACAGACATGCTTTATCTGCTTTATCTGAATAGCTACAACCGGTGAGCAATCTTACCTGACAAGGACATGAATGGCCCATTTTCAGGTAGTTATGCATTTAATAAGCCGAACGTGAGCCAAGTGGCGTTAAGAGGGGAATATTGAGATAGGGTTTACGAGGAGTGAACTGCAGTAGCAGTGGTTGTGGTTGAAGCTGGCGGAGCAAGGACTGTCAAGTGAAGGACTCGAACATCGTCGGAAGCCTGCCCGCTGCGTGACGGAGGGGCCGAAAGATCGCGACAGACGGCGAAACATGAAATGGACGAGGATGAGACATGGTCGCTCCTGAAATTTCATACCAGTTTAGGTCACTCGAAGCTATCTCCGGAAGGTCCTCGTTCCAGCCTTGAGACCCAGAGGTTGGAATTTATAACCTGACCATGCACGCTGACCGGTGTAGTTCACGGGTCTGATAACAGTCAGCGGTCATGGAAAGTAAACATAGCCATAGCGACGGTAGTACCTACCGTGTGCATCGCTATTTTGTCGCGTTACAACCGAATTGTTAGTCAGAATCGCCAACAAGAAAAAGTGCAAGGAATGAAATGGAGGTGGACAGATACAGATAGGTGAATACGCACCCCCATATCAATAACCCAAATGGGACACTGAACATGATTGCCATATGATCCGCACCGATCACTGTATCTGTTATTTCATTCACGTACTTTTGCCTATCACTCGTCCACCGATTAGCACTGAATTAACCCAACAAAAGTCAAAAAAGGAGTCCGAGGAACAGCATCCAATCGACCAAGGGCCCAGCCAAAATGATAACATGGCGAACTGAAAAAACTCACCACCTCTTCCACATTCTCCGCGGGCACAGGGTTGGCCGTGGAAGTTCAAAAAGTGGATTCGAGCTGTGAGTGTATCGTCGGGAGATTGTCGATGCATTAATCGCAAGGGGTAAGGTATGAGAATGCTGTAAGCAGAAAACGGTCGCACAGAATATACACCTGAATCGAACTGATGAAACACGTAAGCTCGAGGATCTCGCCGATACCTTCGGCTCACCTACTGCACACATGATAGGGTCGTTGACTTGTCCAGCTGAATCTGCATCCGGCAGTGAGTAACGAACGGTACAGACGTTCGAAATGAGAAGAAGGACACGAGAACAAATCTTGAAGAACGCGTACAATGTCCATCATTTTAGACAGTTCTGTGCTCTCGAACGGTGCGAGAGACGTATCGGAAGTAATTGATTCTGAGGTCTGACTAGTGTCATTCGATCGCAATAGATGGCGAGTTGCTCACTAGCATTAGCATGAATGACCAAGCCGTACAACTCTCGATAGACGGCGGCATCAAACATTCGCTCGTGCGGGTATAGTTCACAATGCGTCCTCTTCCGAACTCAGATGTCAGCTTCCAGCACACAACGCACCGAAACGCCTACACGCACCAATACCGCATCTCGAGCGCCATTTCTGTAATTACAATCGTCGCACATCGCACAGCATCGCACACGTGAGCTGGCCTCGAATCCCTACGATATCATACTCACTGATATGGCCTTGTTTCTTGATACCCCTCAAGTTCGCATACATTTTTCCTGGCACCAAACCATGCACCCAAAAGAGGAGTCTCCTCTCGGTATCGACAAAGTAATATTGACATTGTTTTCGACTCTTTCCATTTGCAAGTTCAAGGACAAGTTCGAAGGACAGAGATGAAGGTGGGGATGGGAAGGTGATAGAGTGAGATGCAGTGAGCTCAGAGAGGCGGGAAATGCATTTTTCGACGGCTCCCAAATCTTTGGGATTGCGCACGTCAGTGTCAGTGTCAATGTATATTCACTGGTGTGATGTTAACGAGGCCAGAAAGTGAGGTGAAACAAGGTGGACGGTATGAATCGGTTGCCTACACTTTGAATGTCACTGAAGTATGGAGCGCCTTCTGGGTGCGTACACACCTTCCAACTTGTGGGACTGAGATCTGGTTTGCTGTTCCGCGATGTCAGTGGAATTCCTTGTCTCCTCGTGTAGACGAGTGCACAGAATGGAACACATACATGAATTCTCCTTTATTGTATCTGTCTATTTCAGAGGCAGTAAATGAGGTGAACATCCTTGTTGGTAACTTTCCCGTAGTAGTGGTGGATTGTGAAGACAGTGACACGGACGACTCCATGACAGGTTGGGGGACGTCGTGCTGCATGGATGCTGAACTTTTCTGTATCGCGTGCCAGTCAGGGAACAAAGTCGCGGTGCTTAATCATCACTGCTACCGTCTTCCATGCCTACCGAGGAGGAAGAGCTGGTCGAGCTCATGCTCACTCTCAAGGTCAAACGAATCCATCCCATTTATTGGACATGACGGCGGGGACGCTTATATGTTGGGTATGGGGGAACGCGACGCCGGTCGAGGCTCGTAGCATTCTCGCATCTACACCCCAGATTGCGTATGCACTGATCACTCTCATGGTCAAGATGAACGCAATCGACGTACAAGTACTCCAAGTTAGTCGCATGTGCTCCCATTTTCACTAGACTTTTCGTTGTTTCCCTATGCAGAGGTCAACGAGCGCCTCGAAAATTTACAGCCCTCACTGGACACTTGCCAATTCTTCCGCTACCACTCTCCGTCTGGTACTCACCATAGTTCTTCGGTTGTTTCATTGCCACACTATCGCTGTTGGTTATTCACGTGGACAGTGCGATGTCTTGTAGTTGACCTTGTCACTGTGGAGCACCCGCACATATGGGGAGTGTGTGAACGTCAGCTGCCAGCGTGCGTGGATGCTCGAACGCGTTGTCATTCCCTGTAGTAGATGGAATTGGCGAGTGTAAGGGGGTATTTGATCAGGTCTGTGTTCGCTGCCAGCGCCTAACGTCTGAGGTTGGTGTTTCCTGCCTGAAAACCCAGTCCGTCCCTTTCCCTGCTGACGACGCTGTTCCTGCAGACCTAACCTCTTGATGTCGTTGCTGAGGAGGGGACCTTTCATTTGCACACGTAGCTCTTGTAGCCCATGGTCGTGATGTTTCCAATGGCATCGTGGCCTCTGCATCGACTACTGCACTCTACAGAAGTACCCCTGTCTACTTGAAGTGTCCGAGAGAGGGTTAAGGTTAACACATTCTAGAGATTCTACGACGAGCAGTACTGAAGTGGACCAGAGCGATCAGATGTCGGCAAGCAAGTTTGGCCCCAATGCTCCCCCTCCTCCTCTCGCACTGCTCCGAGATTTGTCTCCCGCTCTTCCTTGTAGTCCTGACACTTTGTATTCCACAGCGTATACAACAGAGCATCAATACGCTGTTCATCGTGGGCATGTCAAAGTGGCTGACATGACTGGAGTGGACGAGAGGAGCTTATCGTCGCCTGCTAACGCATCCCTGGCTGGCTGGCATGCATCTCGATGCACCGGTCGCTGGCCTTCTCCCCACTCCGTGTGTATTACTGGAAGGTGCGAACCAACCACCCCAGATGCTCTGCGTCCCATACGCTGTGCTCCATGATCTCGCCCAGTCTACGCATTTCAACCTGCCAGCAGAGACTCCTTCCATCAACCATCACTTAGAGGTTGTGGCTGCTTTGTCTTCTCTCATCGCTAGTAACCTGTCAGAAGGTGGGGGTCCCATCGTCAGTCCCAGTATCCCTTCGCTGATCTCTGCAGATAATTTTTGGCCCCCTTTACTAGCGACGGCTAATCCTGGAATGCTGGAATATTGCCTGCGTCGATCGCATATGCTCCTCCGTTCACACCAACGTCTGGACCATCCAAACCGATACCGTGCATGCAGGCGCAGAACTCGTACAAACCGTGCACCCCGCACAGAATCAAATGTCCCTCACCGCTTTCTATGAGTTCTTTTTGGCCGCCTTGCCTAGAGATGGTGCCCAATCCCAGCATGTTGCTTGCCGAGGTCGCATATACTCACTCGTTCCCACTTACACCTGGACCATCCATACCGACACCGATCGCACAAACGCGGAACTCGTCTACCACGTTCACTCTGATCACCCTGATCACCCTGTCCAACCCGCTCACTCCGTCCACCCTGCAGAGAACCAAACATGCAACATTCCCCTTACCCACCACCCCCGGCACTAAATGAACACAGGGTCATCAAGTACCCATCTTATTCTATGGGAACTCAGTCAAATATCCAGGCAAGAATGGAGAACCTGATGACAAGACGTTTAGCTGTCCCACGCCGCTTGGGCGGGGACACCTCGTCGTAGAGAGCATGTAAAGAGGCACATCAAGTGCATGCAACGAATGACGAAGGTGCGCACAGTCATTCGACGCTATATGTGTGTATGCAGTTGCGCTAATGTTGCTTCTTAAAGGTTGGGTCTGCCAGTATGGTGGGGAGGCCTGCAAGAATACCTTCAGCAGGAAGGATAAGTTAGACAGCACGTATGGAGGAACCATCCAGATCAAAAAAGTTGGGTGGATCTAACATGGAGCCGCAGTCACGTTGACAAAGGCTTCAAATCATGGGGGAGGCAGGGAGAAAGTTCCCATTTTTATAATCGCTAATTTTTCGATGATCTCTTCACGTACGAGTGTGTGCTCATTTTACTCTACGTACGACATTTCCTTATGCACCTTATCGTTACAACTTACTGTAGTCATAACGTCCTGCGCCATTTAGTACGATGTAGCATAGATTCCTACAGTGTATCACTCTTGTATTCTGGACGTGGCCCTTGGAAAGCGGAATATCAAGTATTGCTCTTTTGGTACGAGGGGGAGTCAGGTGTGGTCAGCGAACCAGCCAAGTATTGGACTCCACTAACCGCAGAAAATCCCGCCAGGCGCTAGGACTATAGTACTGTACTGTCCAGACATCCGGCTCGGCCGCTGGCCCGTCCACACCGTCAGTGGTGACGCACATGCTAGATGTTACCAAATGCAAGGAGGGGGTAGTAGCGTCAGCTCACCGTTTCTAGGATATGATATCCAGCAACTAGCGTATGCTTCCAGATATTAACCAGCGACCTTGGTCATCGACTTAGAACTCACTGACCAGTTATTCCACAAGGGCGACTGCCGTCGATGAGGGACTCCTTGCCCTTGTAGTGAGGAGAAAAGGTCCAGTAGTTTCATGTACATATCTCCCAGAAAGCTGCACATTTGTGATCGAGATCGGTGGCATGCACACGTTCACAACGTTCATAAATCGCGACGGTGGTCCCTGAGCGAACCATTGCTGATTTGCTTCTGGTCTCTGGAACTGCTTCAGAGCAAGGCAGCATACGGTGTTCCGGACGGGTGCGACTTACGGTTGTCATTGAGAGTGTCCGAGACCGAGCAACTAAACAAGTTGAGCGCAGACATTCTTGTGCACTGAAGCACTGGCCAGAACGCAGGCGGGCAATATAGGTGTATGCCTACCCTAGCCTTGCTTGCCTACGGCTGACTCCCCCTTGTCGAAAACGCAACCGAGAACAATTCAGGGGATGACCAGCAATGAACGCTAAAGAAATTGTCGATCTGCACACCCGTTCTGCATCACATGCCATGCACGTGCATGGCAAAACAGTTTACTGGAGGGGTGGTTGGGCGGAGGAGCCTTCCGATGACACTTGTTCAGGTGTGGTACTGTAGTAGACCTTCGCTGACTGACTTCGCCTGGCAATGGAGGTTGGTAAGTGCCTGTGGGCATTCCTCGACAGCACGAACCACCGACGTGTATATGGCGACCGCGGCTGCTGACTGGCGCGTCTGCGTATCGGAGTGGGCGATGTCGAGCACAGAGATATCGACCGCCAGCAGAACAGTGGACTGTGGGTTTGGCAATTTGGCACATTGGGGGAAGATGTGCTGCTTACATAATACGTACAGCCTCACCTTTTCCACATCTCCCGTCGTCGACGTCGAACAGAACTCACAAACCGTACACGAAAAACCTTTTCAATGGCACGCATGCAGTCGAAGAAACATCGTCGTCTCTTGGATTTCGGGAAGCCGCCCGGTTCTGCGCCTAGCGGTCTCACGGTACGCATGTTTTCTTTGCTAGGGGATGGCATGTTGATTTTGGGGTTCAGTCTCAACGCCCTTCTCAGGCTCCGCCAGAGAGTCCTGCCCTTGATGTGGAAACTTCGAACAGCGCATCCAAGGGAGGGCTTTCCAAGATCAAGCGCTTCTTTCATCGGAAGACTCAAAGTCATCAAACCACTGCGACGCAGGAAGCTCAAACAAATGCCGATGGGGGTCCTCCGGAACAAACAGAGCAATTACCGGCGCCTGGAACAGAGGAAGTACGTTATCTGCAATCCCCCTGCTCATGCTATGAGCCTGGCTGATCCCCTTGGGACAGACTCAAAGGCCTGCCGACGAGACACAGTCAGCACCCGCGTCAGCTGCGGTTGGAAAAGATGTCGATGGCGCGGTGAAAGCATTCCATGACATCAATCCTATTTCGCCCATCGGATGCGGCGTTATCAGTGTCGTCGATGACAGCCAATACCCGGTTCACGGAGATCCAAAACTTCAGCGATACGTATCTCCAACCTTTCAAAGTTTTCAATGAAATCGTTACTACTCTTTCCAACGTGCGTGTTTCATATTTACATCCGATACCTTCACCACATGTGTGCGCCAGGTTCACCCCTATGCCAAGATTGCACTGGGAATCTTGTCCGCTGCTTCCAATGTACGTTCACGCTTCAACGGACCTTCCTTATTTCACATCGTCCACAGCTGCTTATCAGCCAAGTTAATCGAGATGCAGCTGTATCCAGTCTGCTGAATAAGATCAGGAATACCTATGAATTTCTTGCGGAAGATGACACCATGAAGACTATCGACAACATGAAGAATACCCTTGGGATGATCGCGCGGGTGATAAGTGACTCTGCACAATTTATCAAAGACTATTCCGACATGAAGAGCTTCTGTACGTCTTATTTTTATGTTGTTTCGTATGCTGGTGCGATACGTACGTCGCCAGGGAAGAGATTGGGGAAAGACATTTTGTCTGAAACGCAGACCTATTGTCGATGGCCACATCAAAACTCTAGACGACTTGATGCAGCAGTATCGCGACCGCACCATCCGGAACATTCACATCAACATGTATCGCGTATTCGAGGATTTTGAACCTCGATGGCATGGCTTATGCGGGCGGGGCCGGCCTGAACACGACCAAGAGATGTCTTGATGGTACGAGGACCGAGATATTACAGCAGATCATTGGTTGGATCACAAATCGTGACGTCGATGCGCCCCGGATCTTGTGGCTTCATGGTCAGGCTGGGAGGGGAAAGTCAGCTATTGCGCATACAATTGCATCGTGGGTCAAGGACGTGGGGGCAATTGGATCTTGCTTTTGCTTCGTCCGTGACCGACAATCTGAGCACCGCGAAGAGAAGATGTTCACTACCATCGCGCGAGATCTGGCTGGACGTGACCCTGCGTTTCGACGAGCATTAGGCTATATTCTTGCGGAGGATCACACTCTCAAGACCACCCCTGACGCAGCGCAGCAATGGCAGCAGGCTCATCTTGGAACCGTTGTCGAAGGCCATGGGAGCGATAGTCGGAAACGTGGTTGTGGTGATAGATGCCTTGGACGAAAGTGGGACAGACGAGTCAAGAAGGCACATTTTGTCACTCCTCGTGTCGACCGAGGCGGCGCTTTTACCTGCCAATTTCCGCATTCTTTTGACGTCCAGACCGTTGCCGGACATCGAGTACGTGCTGGGACATTCTCAGCATGTGTTAACAACCTGTCTGGACGACGTCCCTTTGGAATCCGCAGAACGTGACATCCGTCTATTCGTTACCAAAGAAATTGGCCACCTGAAAAATATTGGATCCACCGAGATAGACCAGATGGCTGAGAAGGCAAACGGGTTGTTCGAATGGGCGCGTCTGGCCTGTGAATTTATCAAGCCAAGGAAAGCTGGACATACCGTAAAGGAACGCTTCGACGATGTGGTCACTTTGCAATCTGGAGAGGGGAAGACGCTTCTGGATGCAACGTACATCTCAATCCTGGAGAGTGGTATACCCACATCGCCAGTGCCCCTTTCGCGATTCCTTTCGGTGATGCGACAGGTTTTGATGGTCGCGGAGCCCCTACCGATGAAGACACTGAACCTGATGCGAATGCATTTCCCAAGGGAGGATGATCGCTATGACATTTCTGTCATCTTGGAGTTCATGGGTCCAGTGCTAAGTGGCATCAATGCCCATTCAACTCCTGTCTGCCCTCTCCATGCATCATTCTATGACTTCCTAACTGATCCTTCACGGAGTGGGGTCTACTTCATTGACATGTCTGACTTCGTATGACCAGTCCTTTGCATCGTTGCAAATTCTGTGCAGTGATCTTAAATTCAACATCTGTGGACTGGAAAGTTCCTACTTCAGCAATGCAGAAATTGCTGATTTACAAGAGAGGAAGGCTCAAAATATCATGTCTCATCTATCTTATTCCTGTCGATTCTGGGTCCAACACCTACAGAAGACTGGATTTGACTCGAGGCTGGCAATACTGGTGCACACTGTGGTTGGAAGTGAAAGGCTTCTGTTCTGGCTTGAGGCCATGAGTCTGCTTGGTTTAGTTGGGAATGCTGCAGATGCCCTTGCCTGTACTGCAAAGTGGCTGAAGGTGAGTATTGCATAATTTATGGGTAACATCATCTGAGACCAATGAAAGGGCCAAAGTGGGTTTGAGGATACATTAGCATTGGAAAAAGATGGGATACAGTTCATTTTGAACTATGGGAATGCAATCTCACACAGTGCAATGCATGTCTACCTCTCTGCACTCCCATTTTGTCCATCAAATGCTTTGCTATCAAAAATGCTCATGCCAAAATTCCATTGTCTAGCAGTAGTTTTTGCAGGAGGGTTCAAGGAGTGGCCAGATGTTCAGCTGATTTTAAAGGGTCATCAATGTTATGTCAGATCAGTGGCATTCTCTGCTGATGGGAAGAGGATTGTCTCAGGCTCATATGACAACACTGTGAGGGTTTGGGATGCTGAGAGAGGTGTGCAAGTTGGCAGCCCTCTGGAGGGTCATACAGATTGGGTCAGATCAGTGGCATTCTCCCCTGATGGGAAGAGGATTGTCTCAGGCTCTTCTGACAACACTGTGAGGGTTTGGGATGCTGAGAGAGGTGTGCAGGTTGGCAGCCCCCTGGAGGGTCATACAGATTGGGTCAGATCAGTGGCATTCTCCCCTGATGGGAAGAGGATTGTCTCAGGCTCTTCTGACAAGACTGTGAGGGTTTGGGATGCTGAGAGAGGTGTGCAGGTTGGCAGCCCTCTGGAGGGTCATACATATTCTGTCAGATCAGTGGCATTCTCTCCTGATGGGAAGAGGATTGTCTCAGGCTCAGATGACAAGACTGTGAGGGTTTGGGATGCTAAGAGAGGTGTGCAGGTTGGCAGCCCTCTGGAGGGTCATACATATTGGGTCAGATCAGTCACATTCTCCCCTGATGGGAAGAGGATTGTCTCAGGCTCATATGACAAGACTGTGAGGGTTTGGGATGCTGAGAGAGGTGTGCAGGTTGGCAGCCCTCTGGAGGGTCATACATATTGGGTCAGATCAGTCACATTCTCCCCTGATGGGAAGAGGATTGTCTCAGGCTCTTCTGACAAGACTGTGAGGGTTTGGGATGCTGAGAGAGGTGTGCAGGTTGGCAGCCCTCTGGAGGGTCATACATATTCTGTCAGATCAGTGGCATTCTCCCCTGATGGGAAGAGGATTGTCTCAGGCTCATATGACAACACTGTGAGGGTTTGGGATGCTGAGAGAGATGTGCAGGTTGGCAGCCCTCTGGAGGGTCATACATCTTCTGTCACATCAGTGGCATTCTCCCCTGATGGGAAGAGGGTTGTCTCAGGTTCAGATGACAAGACTGTGAGGGTTTGGGATGCTGAGAGAGGTGTGCAAGTTGGCAGCCCTCTGGAGGGTCATACATATTCTGTCACATCAGTGGCATTCTCCCCTGATGGGAAGAGGATTATCTCAGGCTCTTCTGACAAGACTGTGAGGGTTTGGGATGCTGAGAGAGGTGTGCAGGTTGGCAGCCCTCTGGAGGGTCATACATATTCTGTCACATCAGTGGCATTCTCTCCTGATGGGAAGAGGATTGTCTCAGGCTCATATGACAAGACTGTGAGGGTTTGGGATGCTGAGAGAGGTGTGCAAGTTGGCAGCCCTCTGGAGGGTCACACATATTCTGTCACATCAGTGGCATTCTCCCCTGATGGGAAGAGGATTGTCTCAGGCTCAGATGACAAGACTGTGAGGGTTTGGGATGCTGAGAGAGGTGTGCAGGTTGGCAGCCCTCTGGAGGGTCATATATATTCTGTCACATCAGTGGCATTCTCCCCTGATGGGAAGAGGATTGTCTCAGGTTCTTCTGACAAGACTGTGAGGGTTTGGGATGCTGAGAGAGGTGTGCAGGTTGGCAGCCCTCTGGAGGGTCATACAGATTGGGTTGGATCTGTGGCATTCTCCCCTGATGGGAAGAGGATTGTCTCAGGCTCATATGACAAGACTGTGAGGGTTTGGGATGCTGAGAGAGGTGTGCAGGTTGGCAGCCCTTTGGAGGGTCATACATCTTCTGTCACATCAGTGGCATTCTCCCCTGATGGGAAGAGGATTGTCTCAGGCTTTTCTGACAACATTGTGAGGGTTTGGGATGCTGAGAGTTATGAAGAAATGATCTGCAACCAAGACACATTTGAACCCCCTGCAAAGAACCCAAAGAGTGCATGTCCCTTGCCTTCCCCTGCAAATAGTGAGTATTTCCTATGTCTTATGGATCTCAGTTATACTCAAACCATTCAGCATACTCAATATGTTTTTCCTCCATGTCTTTTCATGCATTGCATGATGCTGGGCAACTGCTTGATGGTCTCCAGGATGAACATGCCAGTGTTAGGGATGACACTGTGAAACTTTACAGTGATGGCTGGTTGAAGGGCCCAAATGGAAGATTGCTTCTGTGGATACCTGCATCACTCAGGGTGCCCTTTTACTCTCTGTGGACCACAGCAGTCATCCCCAATGGGTGCTGTGTAGAATTAGATCTGAGCCAAATGGTTCATGGTACCAAATGGCATCAATGTTTCAAGTCTACTGAGATTTAGTCTTCACTTACTATCCATGTATATCCTTTTACTTCTCTATTGTGAACAATAAATGTTTTTGACAATCAAGATCATAGTTACATTCCTCTTGATTTTACACCAGGAAATCAATACTTGCTTACAGTGGCAGATATGATGTACAATCTTGTCATGTGCTGCATGCAGAAATTCTGCATAGGTAATGTTGCCAAATAATAGCCATACTGAATAACCATCCTGTATACATGTTCATAAAGCAGGATGCCATTCTGCTGGCTTTTACACAATTCCTGAAGTTGCTGAGAGTCTTGTCAATTCAAGTGACCATACCATTGGGTTCAGGGATTGCTCCCTCTAGTATTTTTTCCACATACTTTGGCATACTGGTCATGTTGGCCCCACATAATTCTCTTATTCACTACTGACTGTATCAGTAACTTAGCAAAATTTCTGAGGCTCTGAAATCATATTTTTCAGTCTGTCAAGTACAGGTTTACCCTTAGGTGACCAGGCTTCAAGTCCAGGTGACAGGGGCTAAAGTCTAATTGGACCAGAGTTAAGGCCAGGTGACAGGGGCCAAGTCTGGAGGTCTGGAGTCAAGGCCAGGTACATGGGAACAAGGCCAGGAGAGTGGGAAACTGACTGGTCTCAGAGCACACACAGGGGGAAGCTGGTCCAGGGTTGGATCTACCTCCCTTGGTCTCAGCTTAGTGCTGTTATGTATGATACATTGTTTGAAAGCCTTTGTTGAATAGTACAAGGCCCCCAAAAAGGGTGAGAAGTGGAATGCTGGAATGGGCAGGAATGGATGGTGATTTGGGTTGAAAAAATCTTCACAGGCCTCCATCACATCATTGTTGACTGAGATGAGGTACTTAACTATTGTGAGGTTAGTGAATTATTGACTTAACCTCCCCATTCACAAATTTTCCTCAGAGGCCATTGTTGCTTGATGTGGAGGTACTGGCAGCCTCCCTGCTGAAAAGAGTGAGTGCCATAAGCTGCAGGATTGGGTTGAGGTCCAGCAAGTTGTCTCAGAACATTTCCAGGAACTGTCCAGATGACTTTCAAACCAGATGCCACATCAGCTGGCTGATTGTCTTGGCAAGCCTGAGGTGCAGAACTCTATCTCACCATTGGTATGTTGGCTTCTGCAACATGGTCACCAGAAGCAATTTTGTGGAAGAGGTAACTGGACATGATGTTGGATGCTATGATCCACTCAGATGTGGCCCTTACAGTGCAGAGGTGAGCTTCCAATTGATGGAACACCCACAGGAAATATGGTTTGATGTCTGCTGGTGCAATTAGTCCAAGATAACCTCACCATGCTGTCAGCATGGCTCATGCACACTCACCTCCAGTTTGGTGGGTTTTATGGAAAGGGAGGGTAATGGACATGCCAGTTGTAGTGCCAGTGGCATCATACATGAAGTTGATGTCATGGACTTGAATCTTGAGAACTTCATCAAATCAGGGAAGGCAGATGAATGCAATTGTATAGGCAGCTTGTAAGAGGCAATGCACCCAAGCACCACCCCAGCCTGCCAACCTGTCATCTTGACCATGATGGTTGGGGTCATGAGGTCAATGAGTGCCAGGCTGGTATGGATGGATGGTCCAATTGTCAGGTAGATGGTTGAAATGATAGAGTTGTGAGAGTATCTCCTGTGGGAATGGGTAGTGAGCTTCCCAGAACCATTGCACCAGTGGTATCAATGTAACTGATGAGATTGTGTGTGCACTGATGGTAACCTCACCAGCTTGGACCTGTAATGTGTAAGGGAGGGGTATCAGTGAGACTTGTTCACCACCCATATATAGCCCAGACAAAGACACATATCTTGCAGCACTGTAAGGCACACATGTAAGATGACACCTGTACAGACATACTTGGGTTCCCCAGTACCTCTGACTGATGCCAGGGCATATCACCAAGTCAATGTAACCACCCAAAGGCATAGGTCATCACTGCCCTCATCTTCTGCACATGGCCATAAGTGCCTCATTCCTCAGATGGTGGTTTACTAGTGCCCTTCAGTGTGATCAAATCCTGCCAGAGTCAACATCATTTTCATCAGTTTGAGGCAGTGATAATAAACAGGAGAGACAAGGGATACACATTCATAATCCAGGCAATGATGAATGTTGTTGCATCATGATGGGGTTGGTTGGAATAGAACAACTTGTCACCTCACATCCATCCCATGCCCACAAGAAATTTCTGACACTGCTGCATGAGGCTATGGGGATTAAGTTGTTTGAGTAATCTTGTTTTGCAAATGGGAAAAACAGACCATTTATATTCTGCATCCATTCCCTTTGTCACCCCTTTCAATGCATCTAGTAGCATGGCTTGAAATGCAGAGAATTTGTTGTTGGTTTCAACACTGTAGGTATAGTTTGTTGTTCAGAGGTCATGTTGTATGAAACATCAAGGAGTTGGAGAGGAAATGCCTTGGACAGAGATACAGCATGACACAGTCCAGGATAGCTATCAAAGGCTTGCTCAGACATGTTGGTTGTTGGTGCTGGTCCAATTTTCAGGGAGGAAATAGGGAAAGCTGTGAGAGTCGTCAGCCTCCTATATATGCAGTGAATTTCCAATCATCATTAGTCATAGCTAGACAAGCCAGTAACACAAACAAAGACAGTAACCAAAATAGTGTCTGGTACAACACCAAACAGTACTTAGAACCCACCAAGGACTGTATTTTTTTCATGAGGTGCTGAGACTCCTTGAAGGAAGACCCTGAGTTGGCAGGGAAAGCATGACCACCACAACCTACCCACTGGACCATTCTTTCATGAAAAAAGATGTTCTGATCCTGCAATGTGACAGCTGAGTGTAGTGCATACTCACCACAAATGGTTGATGTAAAGCCAAGTTGCATGACACATCACTGGCTTTGACACCTAACATTGAAGCATAACATATAACATGCAGCTTATGCTGGCTTCATGAGAGGTTGATCGAGGGGCTTATAAGCAAGGACCACTCATGACCATCCATTTACCCTCTGTCTGTAGACCCTACCCCCTACTTCTCACATCACACTCCAAGTACTTGCTCCATTGCAATCTCACCAGTGTTGTCACTGTGATGGCACCCTTGGTCTCTTCACTACCAGTCCCCATCTCTGTCTTGGTGAGTACTTTGATCTGGCCTTGTTGATGGACTCAATGGTGTCACTGTACACTGAGGACTCCATCCACAGTGTTGGGGAGGGCATTGCCAGTCAGTGAAACTCCTCAGTGTTACTTGCATTGCTTGCAGATACCATCAATTGGAGGCCTGGATGGAAGGGCTCAGGGAAGGACTGAGGGAGTAGGGAATCTGATTGCCCACAGGGAGTCTGTGTGTCAGCACTCCTGTGCATGATGGCCATTTAGGTCACTGGTGTGACAGCCTGCCCATTCCCACCATACCCATTGTGAGTCAAAGTGAGGAAAGGTGGTATAAACCAACCAAAACCAACACCAAAGACAAATATAGAGTGAGTGGTGGTTTACCTCTGTGGAACCTGGAGGGCAGAAGAAATCTAATGTGGGGGGGACTTCAAGTGGAGTGCTCCTGGTGCAAGTTGATGATGAGTTATGCAGGAACAGATGAGCAAGTGACAAGAGGGTGAGGGATGCTGAATAGAGTGAAGGTATTCAGCCAAAAGTACTCCTGGTGTAAGTCAATGATGAGTTACACAGGAGGGGACAGATGGATGATGAATGTGAGAGAGATGCCAACTGGAGTAATGAACTTCAATAGGACATGCTCCTGGCACAAGTTGATGATGAGTTATGCAGGAGTGGAAGAATGACTAAGCAAAAGGGTGCTGACCAAGCACTGATGATACTGCTGATGAAGGCAGATAGACCCCTTTGTGGAGCCTCAACTACCAATGATATGAATGAAGACAGATAGACTCTTCCAAATGAGCCTCAACTGTTGATGATGAGGTATGCACTGAGAGAGCTGAACTGACTGACTTCTGGATTGCTTGTTCTGTTGTAGCTAAGTACATGGGGGTTTGTATACTGTGGGGGGAGCACAGCCTATGACAAACAAGGCACAAATGCTTGGTAAGTAGTGAGTAAGGACTGTAAGCAGTGAGTGATCCTGATGAGTAAGTGAGAAATGAAAAGTAAGCAAGCATAGAAGGATTGGTAAGTATTGCCAATAAACAAGTCAAGGACAGTCAAAATAATCACAGTATGAGTCAAATAGAGTCAGAAACTGAGTAAACATACTGAATCACATTAGGGGGTGGAAATGCAAGTCAGATCTCAGCAGAGACATCACTGGACCAACAGATTGGATGACAGATGGATGGTGTTTCCAGATGGGGAAGTATTAATTCCAGAAAAGGATGGCATGAGTCAGTTGTCAAAGGGCTAGGGTGTTGGGGGTCTGTGGGGTTATGGAGCATAGGAAATTGTGTCCCCCACCCATTCATCCTCTCAGCAAAGTCAATAAATACTTCATAAATGGGGCTCTGATGGAGGAGAGGGAGAAGGGGGGACTGTCTTCTGCTGGGTCTTGCAGTAAGAAGGCAAGATGCATGTCATACTCATCATGGATGTGACCAGGGAGGCTGGAGAACAGTAGACCATACTGCAGCTGTTGCAATGTGGGGAGAATGACAGACAAGATTGGAATACAGACAGTGCAGGGAGCAGGGAGGAAGGATCCATGCAGTGACTTCCAAAATTGATTCAATGTTTGCACATTTTGGGTTGTTTGTTGAATTGATCAGGAACAAAAACAAATAAGACCAAAGTGTAAGTTGACAACATAAACTGTTTGCACAGGGCTATCCATCAAAAAAAAGATTATGTAATTTGAATTAGTATCCATGGCAATACACTTGATTTAAATCACCATGTCATTGAATCAATTTTGTAACTATGTATTGGATCCATCAGAATCCAACCAATATCACATAAAACAATTTCAAAAATCATCAAAGATGGTTGCTATGGTTATTGTACCTTAGCAACCATTTCAGTCCAAGCTATTTAACCACTGTCTATGTTGTCAATGCTCCCTAACTATACTATGCACTCCATCTCCTCTGCTCAGAAGGCAAACATCATTTCTCTGGCCTGTAATGGTCATTCTACTTGCACTATTGCCTCCAGGCTGGGTATCAGCCAGCCTACAGTCTCCAGGGTGCTCAAGAACCTTCTTCTGGATGTCCTGCTGAGCTTTCATCCACCTCTCAGCATGCTATTATTACACAAATCACCACAGGCAAGGCCACCAATGCTGTTGAGGTTACAAAGAACATCCAATTCCATAATCTCCAATCCAGTCTCCTCACAAACAGTCAGAAGGGTCCTCAGAAAACATTCATTCAAGGCTGTAACAAAGAAGAAAAAACCACTCCTTTCTATAACTCACAAGAAGAAGTGATTAGCCTTTGCTCTGAAATACAAAGAATGGACTGTGGAGGATTGGAGAAGGGCTATCTGGTCAGATGAGACCAAAATCAATAGGATTGGGTCAGATGGGAAGGTTTGGGTGTGGAAACAGGCAGGAGAGGGGCTTATTGAGAGAGAGATACAGGGAACAGTCAAGCATGGAGGAGGAAACATTATGGTATGGGGATGTATGGGCTGTGGAGGTGTTTGCCACCTTGCAGAGATTGAGGGCAGGATGGATGCCAACCAATATGTGGACATTTTGGAGAGCCAGTTGCTTCCTAGCTTGGGAGATTCTGGAATTCCTTTGAAGGATGTTATCTTTCAACAGGACAATGACCCAAAACATACCTCCACAAAGGCCAAGAAGTGGTTGGAGGACAACAATATCAATGCTCTAGACTGGCCTCCACAGCCTCCAGATATGAACCCCATTGAATACCTCTGGAATCACATCAAACAGGAGCTCAACAAGTATTCAACACAGCCAAAGGGAGTTTGGGAGGTTTGGGAGAGAGTGGCAGTGGTGTGGAATAATATAGACCCAGGGGTGTGTCAGAATGTAATTGAAAGTACACCTAGAAGGGTCCAAGCAGTGATAAAAGCCAAGGGAGGTCATACAAAGTATTAAAATTATCAGTTTCTATATCTCTGATACACACTTCTAAAATTGATTCAATGACATGGCAATTTAAATTGTATATACCTTTATGGATACTAATTCAAATTACATAACTCTTTTTGATGGATAGTCCTGTGCAAATGGCTTATGTCATCAACTTACACTTTGGTCTTATTTGTCTTTGTTCTTGATAAATTCAACAAACAACCCAAGATGTGCAAACATCGAATCAATTTTGGAAGTCACTGTATATATATATGCAGAAAGTGACATGTGGTCAAGTGGTTTGTTGCAGAGGGTAATGACATGGCTGAGAGGGCATGGTGGTGTGGTTGTGGAAGGTAATGACATGGCTGAAAGGGCATGGTAGTGCAGTTGCATGACCACAAAAAGTAATGATGCAGTCAAATGGGTGCAGTGATATGGTTGCAGAAGGTAACAATGTGGTTGAGAGGGCACAGTAGAGTGGTTGCATGACCACAACAAGTAATGATGCAGCTGAATGGGCATGGTGGTGTGGCAGTGCAGCTGTGAAAAATAAATGTGCATATTTTATGCCATAGTCTGCAGATGCCCATGTTTCAGCCATCTCAGTAAGTCATCATGTAATTCATTTCCTTGCTGATGGTGTTACATAGGATCCTCTACTCATCAACATTGAGCCACTTCCTGCCATGCAAGGACCATTTGGATGTATTCCAGACCACCTCCCACCTACTGACAAAGGCCAGACAAATGCTGAGGGTGGTACTGCCCTGCCTATCACCCCTCTTATTCCTGCCATTGATGAGAGTGAAACTGAGCCTGAAAGCATGGAGGGAACCCCAACCATGGCTGTCAAGGTACATACATCATGACTTGTGAACCATTCTTTTTCTTGATATTGATCTCTTTCTAGA